CCAGGCACTTGTGAAGGTAACAGCAGGCTGTGTGTGTGTGTGTCGTGTGTGTGTGTGTGTGTGTGTGTGAGAGAGTGTGTGTGTGTGTGTGTGTGTGTGTGTGTGTGTGTGTTATTGTGGGGGTTATTGTGCTTATTGCCAGCATCAGGTGTGAGAAATTCTGCTTCAGCTATCACTGAAAAACACTCCCTATTCTGCTCACACACACACACACACACACACACACACACACACACACACACACACACACACACACACACACACACACACACACACACACACACACACACACTGTTCTACCTGTGCACTCACACACATATGCACAGACTGATGAACATACACACACATAGAGACACCGGCAGAACTCTATGAATTGTTCGACATTTTAAATAAAAAAATAAATAAGCAAAGTACATTATTATTATTATTTATCTGAGTCATTGTCAGGTCATGGGAAAAGTCACGCACGCTCTTGAAGACACGTGCACGCTCTCACACATGCACATTCACACATACACACTGTTCAATTATACCCCACTCTCCTGCCCTTTTCTCCACCATGCATACATCAGTACAAGTCTGGACAGCCTGGCTCAGCACGGAGATGCACAGTTGACGAATCCCTCCGCCGACACACTGGCAAGTAGTCCCAAATTTATGGGATTTTGATAGATGGCAGATTAAGAGTCTAAAACAGAGAGCGTTTCTATGAAATATAACCGCGTCTTCTTTCTCCTGCTATTTAAAGGAGATTAACTGTAAATACTAAGCATTGTGTGAATTACCAGGTATACAGATTAAAAAGATGATTTTGTTTTCACCAAAGCTTTTTATTAAGGGGAGCTGGAAAAAGAATTGGAAGATGTCAAATGACATGTTTAGCAACAAAATTTCAAAACCAGGAGTAGGCTACACTTAATAGTTTTGCAGAACTACTTTTTGTCAATCCAAACGGCTGGTTGGGAGAGGCGAACGCATCCGAGCGGACGTCCACCTCACTTTTCTCCGGGTGTTGTCCGGCTCCCCGGCACACACTCGCACTCACGGCTGCTTCCATCTATCCATGCTGTTCACTTCATTGTACTGACTGTGTTCATCAATTAGGCAAGAATTAAGCCGTTTTAGGTTCAGTAGTTATCTTTTAGCACTTCCGAGGGGATTATAAACGGCGACCAGAGGCGCAGATAAGTTTTGAGTGCGGGAAAGCGGAGAGAAACGAAACACAGGTACAGTGTGACTGTTATCTCGACTTCCAACTATTAACGTTACTAATGTAACGCGAGGGTACTAGCCGCAAGCTAACTGGCTAACGTTAGCATCCCAACGACCAACTGGGTTTGAGTTCAGATTGCACTTTGGTGAGCAGTGAATTGTCGCCCGCTTCTTATTGTTCAGCCACCAGAAATTATTCGGGGCGTTCAAAGTGAGGCAGTTTGCAGCTAAAGGTCCTGAAACGGACCGCCAAGTAGAGTTATAATAACCTAGAGAACGAGTTTTACTCCATGCCAGCAGCAGCAGACAGTAGCGTCAGTAGTAGTAACAGCAACGTAAGCGTGGGGAAAACAAAAGGACTTCAAAGTCTGACACACAGCACACAGATAACTGCTCAGAAAAGCTATGAAAATATTGATTTAGTTAGCAAACATAGCTCACATAAAACGCCTTGCGCAAATCCACCACCTCATATTTTTTCTGAGGTTTTATAATGAACTTATTTATTGAAAACCAATATTTTATAATTACATAGGAGTGCTTAAAACTGAGTCCCTATAGTAATGTTACAGTATTACCTTTACCAGATACAAAAATGCCACTGTATCTCTGAGACTCATGAGCATACTATTAGTCACTTAGGACTATTATTGTCAACGTTATTTGTCAGTATGAGTCAAAGATGAGGCATCAAAGAGGAGACGCGTATCAAACTACCCTTTTAGAAATGTATATTGTAGCAAAAAATTAAATGTAATACCTTGCACTTAATAAACAATGATTGATGTTTTCGTCGTTTTGCGTACCATTTTGCACAATAGAATCCGATTTTCCTAATATTGAAGTCAAGTGACAGAAACTTAGAAAAGCTTTCCTTATGCTGGTCAGAGGTAGTGGAAATTAATCAGGCTAGTAAGCACAAGTGGGGGGTTGAGCAATACTTATTACTACAAATAGATCTTGCCTAGCCGAGTTAGCAGTTGTGTATTTTTGTGTTAGCTCGTATAGCTCATAAAAGTTGATTATTCTGGTGGACATCGAGGCTACCGTCGCAGTGTCCGAGGCTACCACAGCCCCCCAAACTCTCCCTGAAAGTGAACCTGGGCGGGATTATACAGCTCTTTCTCCTTGGTAGCTGTAGCTTCAGCGATTTACCAAACTCTAATACATCGGGATAGACTTAAGTGGACAAAGGTGGATCTAGGTTTGGAAGATGTGATTTTCCAGTGAAGTTAGAGAGGACAGCTGTTGTAGTTTTGGGGGGCACCGGGAGCGACAGACAAAGACCCCCAGAGAGCCTCAGACAGTTGTATTGTCTACCCTGAGTTTGGTATATGTGATTTAATCTCTCGGGTTTGCCCTCTACCCCCTCCAGCAGCATAACTGCTCATGTTTAATATGAGGGATTGAGCCCGTTTGTCACATAGCTGCGCGTCCCTGCTTTGTTCTGGCTGCATTTCAAGTTAGTAAACTGGAGATGAAGTTGCTGATGTGGTGACGAAAGAAAGCAAGTGTTTGCAATTCAAATTCGTTGGACGTAATTGTTGTTTATACCCTGTTCTGTCACAGATATCGATGTCTTTGTTTGTGGTCAACTGTCGTTTGTAACCGCACTGTTTGTGTAGGAGGAAGCAGCTTTGGTGGGATACTTTTTACCGTGTGGAGCTGTGTCCTGAGCTGACCGTCTAGTCTTTTGTGCAACTGTAGGACTCACTGGGTCGGAGATGCAGAGAGAGAGAGAGAGAGAGAGAGAGGGGAAGAAAACGAGGCTTGGACACGTAATGATATAGCACTGACTGTAGATGACACTTAAAATGAGAGCCCCCTTCATGAAGGAGGGCTCTCATGTTATCCATGGCACGTTTTTTCCACGTTGTTTTTCAGATGCTGCCACTTGTCAGTTGCAGTGTGCAGTTGTGTTTGTATGTGTGCGTGCGTGTGTGTGTTTGTGTGTGTGTGTGTGTGTGTGTGTGTGTGTGTGTGTGTGTGTGTGTAGATGCGTGTTTGACAGTTTTTAAGGCTTTCCCTGGCTTTTGGAGGGGTTCACTGTGCCGGTATGGATTTCCTTGACATGTTTAAAGAGGCATATGATGGATTGCAGCTTGATTTTTTGCTATACATACATGTTCATATTGGAGACTCGAAATGATGCCAGGCTAAAAATAAGACACCACATTTGGACTTATTAATAGTGTAATTGAATATGCATAGACCTGTTCAATATGGGGTCAGGTCAGGGCAAAGCAACATCACTATTTTTGTCTTTTTCACATACACAAAATTTTACAACTAAAGACCATTTTGATTTTAGATTAAATTTTAGCATTTTTGCTTAAAAGAATAGTTTTCTGTCAGTTGAATAATCGATTAATCAACTAATCATTTCAGCTTTGAAAATGTTAGAGTGCTGGAAAAATCTATTTGTTTTTTATTGTCAAAATTTGTCAGATTCACTGTTACTAATATTGCTCTGAACAGATAAGATGTGTTAGTGTTTCTTAGGGCTTATTTTCTTAAATAATCAATTATATTGTTTGGTGTGGTCTATAAAATGTCAAGAATTAGTGTATAATTGCCAATAGCAATGTCTCTTCAAAACCTGAAGATATTTAGTTTACTATCACGTAAGACAAAGAAAAGCAACAAATCTTCAGCAAGAAGCAGAAACAAGGGAACATTTGAGATTTTTGATTGAAAAATGACTAAAATTATTAATCAAGTCAGTTATACATAAATTAAAGTTTCTCTATCAATGTCTATAAAATTCATTGTTGCTGCTATCCGTTAAATTCATTCACTGGAAGCTGTCAACTCAGCTTTTAGTGCCACAGCCGTACGTTGCCTCATGTTACCTTGCATAAAAATGATTCCAGTTCCATGCAGTGAGGTTTTGGAGAGTTGAAATATGTGAAAAAGAGAGCATTGGTAAGGGATCAGTGCTCTGTGTCAGGTAGAAACCCTGAGTTGAAGTACTGGAAGTTGTATCAGGGAAGAGAAAGTCAGATTGGAGCATCCCTAATTGTTTATCAAAATGATTGCAGGTTATTTTCTGTAGATTGATTAGTCATTTTAGCTCTCATCTTAAAACCAAAAACATGTCTTAAACCATGGTCCAGCTCACTGGCCCTGTTCTGTTTGTTGGTGGTGCCACCATGACAGGAGCGTGCTTTTAATTAGTCAGAATAACAAAGGAAAAAGTGAATGAGTGATCAACAAACTGAAGAAATGCCTGTGGACTGTGGGTGGTTGTGCTCTTGAGGTCAATACTTGGCAGAAGAAGATGAGATCTTAAACTTGAGCTGGAACCTAGAGATTAGTAACAGATGTGTGTCAGACAACAAATAAAGGCCATGTTGTGGCATCTTCATCGCCTAATGTCCCACTTGTTGCCAGTGTAAGGTCCTTTTGATTTGAGAGATACCAAGTTATTAAGTGACACTGAGAGCTTTTGAATGATAATGAGGGTCAGGGAGAGATAACTGAGTTGTTGAGTGGATGAACGAGTTCTCTTGTATACTGTATGTACACCAGTGTTTGGAAAAATAAACTCAGCTCAAGGGAACATAATGGGAATGCTTCCAGGGTAGCAGCATAAGGTGCTGTTGTACTTTACAAGAGTGAATGAAGTTTTATAGGGTTTCAAGTGAAAACACATAGGAGCCAACTCATTAAAAACAGAGTTAACTGATAGATTTACAGGATGTTGAATATTGAACAGGGGTGCCAGTGGTGAAACTTAATATTTAAGGTTTGTGTTTTGTTTTTTTGTTTGTTTGTTTTTTGCAGATATGCCCTCAGTGATGGAGCGCTCGGGGGCCGGGGTCCTGTCCAGGAGCAGAGCCAAGACTGTAACCAATGGCAACAGCCAACCACACTCTGAGGAGGAGAGCAGTGATGAAGAGCATGCTCATGGTAGAGATTTTCAACACGTTAAACTGAAGTATATTATACTGAGTTGAATTCTCTCCCTAAGTTGAGAATTGATTTAACATGTAGCTACTGTGTTTGCTGATCTAACATGAAGAGTGCACAAAGTGTTCTTACATGCAGACATTTCCATTGTACAGATACATCATGGCAGCTGTTCCGGTTGCATTCAATGCATTGCTGCAGTGTTTCTTCAGTCCCTGCACACTGCTCTTCTCTGTCGTCCCCTCCTTCTCTCCTCCACCCCCTTCCCACACTCTTCCATCCTTGTCATCCTCTGCCCACATACATCTTTCCTTCCTCCATTCTCTCCTTCACCCACTGACTTGCTGTTGATCTTTTCATTTTATAACTATTATCTCACCCTGCACATGGACCTGGGACACATTTTTAGATCAAACACAGCAGTACAACCGGAATAGTTAGGGATTGTTCTAAAGGCACGTCACTACCCATATTATTGCAACCACCACATTTATCCCCACCTCCACCTCCTCCATCCATCTTCAGTCTTCCATTTCATTTCCTCATCTTCCTCATCAATTGGTCTCATTTCTCCCTCATTTTTTCTCTCAGCCAGTGTCTCCTATCCTGCCTCCGTCTTTCTTTCTACCCATTTTTCTTTCATCTTTTCTGTTCCCCTTCCTGCCTCTCCCCACCCATTTCTTACCATCTACTCCAGTTTCTATCACCCCCTTCTCCTCTCTTCCTGTCCTCTGTCCCTGTGGAAACAGTAATCTGTCTCTTCCTCCTTCTGGTCTGCTTCCTTGCTCCACTTGTAGTCTCTCTTCGTTCCTTGCTTTCCACCCTCTGTCCATCTCTTCTGATTCTCGCTAGCTTCACCACAGCACTAATTACTTAATGTCTGCCATCCACTATCACACTTCCTGTGTGGGTTTATTTAATTTGGATGTTCTCATGATAAAAATATCACAGGTAGTGATACTTTCACGTCATATGCTATTTCTGAATTTTAATTGTTCTCTTGTGTAAAGAGACAAGTTATATGCTGTGACTGAGAGCTTCCTGCTGTCATGGTAGAACCAAACAAAAGCCCAAATAAGTAGAACAATATATTAAGTATAGCGAGCAATTCTTGATCTTATAAAACCATTAGAGCCATTGTATTTCAGTTTTTTGATTAAAGGAAGTCTCTATTTGTGGAAGTTGTCATCCAAATGTGTTTTCCATCCTTGACCTGAAAATGTTTGCAGGCAGTGTGTTTCTTAACATGAGGACTTCAGAATTGTTTGCGCTGTTTAAAACTAATTACATATCCTCAGGGTTTCCTGCAGCGTTTTATGTCCATGCCTTGTAGAGAGCTGTGGAATTCCACTGCACCAGTGTTAATTTTGTTAATGAAAACTATGACAAAAAATATTCGACAATGACCTGTTTTTCACAAAATACAGACTAAAACTAAATAAAAAGTAACCTTTGAAAACAAGAACTATGATGAAATATATTACGTTTGTTAACGAATAAAAACTAAACAATAATGAGAAAGACGGACAAATTGACATGTTTTAATGCAAAGTACAACAACCTGCAGGCCTCATGGGAGCACACACTACATCTTCTGATTAGTAAAACAGTTTCCTCCACAGTTCAGACGGTGATTTGGCTGCTTTATCTGTTGCACTATTAACAATAACAAACACCTTGCAAAGTTATGTGTCTGTCAGTAATGTTATCTGATGTTACCTGTTCTTGGAAGAAACCGATTTATGGAATAAATTCATCCACAATCCACTGAGAATTAGACAATGAGTGGAAACAAAACAGCTAAGTAAGTTCCAGGCTTAATTTCAGTGGTCCATCTAAATCGTCCTTTAGATGTTTGCTAAACAAAGATCACAGTATTGATGTTAAGCTACAATATAATGTCTTCTCTCAAACTAAAACCATAAAATGAAGAGTATTTTAGTGACCAGATGAGTGAATCCAGCTTGTGAGTGACTCACTGCTCTGCAGTGAACAGCACAGGTAGCTGCAGTAACACCATGTTAACAGGAACAACAGCACTAGCTTAGATTACAGAGATCTGTTTAAACCGACAGAGTTTGGAAATGCTAACTGGATTGGGACATGGAGACCTTGCGAGACACCTGTAACTATGGTAACTGGACTCATAGATGGCATCAGCTTTAGCCTCAAAATGCACTGAGGAAATAACAATAATAAGTGTATGATGAAAATGAGATGGCGCTAACTAAAACTAGACTAAAGCTTAACAAAAATCAAATTTGACTAAAACTAATAAATATTTCAGGACTAAGACTAAATCAATACAATTTGCTTAAGTTAACACTGCACTGTACACCTTACAAGAAAATTATTTAGCTGATACAGTATTTTGTCATTGAGAAGAAATTAATTGGATGAAACTTCAGTTCTCAGAGTTCATGTGTAGTTCTCTAACGGACTTTGATATTGCAGAGGCAGAGACTTGATTCGGTAAACCAATACCGAAGTCCATTAGATGGCTTAGCACATCCACAATAGAAGATGCTTATCATACTCTGTTGTTTATTCTGTCGCCCTATAGATGGCTCTCCTCCTGTCTGATCTGATATCCTTCTTCTTATGATCCAGTCTATCCAGCTCTGCAACTACTAGTGAAATTTCTGCCTTGTTACTTGAATACTAGTCCCCCATCCCCTTTACCACACTTTATCTATCTCTCTTTGAAATACTGTATAAAGTCATGTTCATCTTGTGTCTCCTTCTACAGACAGTATGATCAGAGTGGGAGGAGATTACCAGGCTCAGATCCCAGAGTTCAAACCAGGTAAGCTGGCATAAAGGAAAGAATGGGAGAAAGGGAAATGACAGAGAAATAAAAAGTGAGTTCATCAGAGAGAGAGGGGGAGGAAATCAGGGCTGAGAAGGAGACATAGAGGTGACTATAGGACATTGAAACGGAGGAAGGAGGGGAATGCAGATGATGAGAGAAATGAAGGTCAAATGACCAGTGTTACTGTGGAAATCCAGGAAAATGGAGAGGGGAAGTAGAACTAGCAAAATGTCTGAAATGATATCTCTCTGTCTCCCTGTTTTCTTCCAGATGTTTTACCCTACCTGCTTAAATGTTAGATCACAGTTTACACAGTTTAATGTGGGAATAAAATTCATCTCATGGTAATAATTTTCAGTTACTCAGTCATTCAGGCAGCACAGAATAAGGTGGGGAAGTGCAACAAAAGTTAGAAAGAAATTCTAGCAAAATTAATGGGATTAAGTGATGCAACAATAATTACTGACTAATGGGAACCGCAGATATTGTGACATGTAACACAGGACTGATACTTCCTCCACACAGCTCAGATTGACAGGTTTACATGAATGCTCAACGTATCTGTGTATTAAAGGCCTTAAATGAATCCAATAAAGATGAAGTAGAAGTCTTAAAAGTTAGAAAATGTGTTAGATAATTAGAATTGCTTGCAACACCGCACAGTCAAGGTCTCTGAGGTGGGTGTGAAGTCTTTGTTTAATAAATTAAAGGGTTAGCTCTGCAATATTTAAACCCTTTATTTTATTTATCATATCTGCTTCGGTAAACACAAATGAACCTCAACTATTTTTTCTTAAATTTCACAAAAGTGTAGCCACGTTGGATCAGAGTAAAGTTAGGAAAGGTTTAAAGATTCTGCAGCAGTGCTTAGTGAGATACACTGATGACTTGTATGAGAAGTAGAAGTAAAATGGCTGAACAGTGGGAAAACAACTACCATAATATCCAGAGAGAAAGAAGAAGTTGCCCCACAACAATCACATTGCACCAGAGGAGGGTAGGAGCAGTTAGACCTACCTCCCTCTTAATGTCTTCTGGCACGTCACTGTCTCCTCCTCGCCTTTCTTCCGAATGAAGATGGAGCCGAAGATGTAGTGTAGGCAGGATAACACATGCAAAGAAGAGGGAGGAAGAAAGTAAAAGTTAATAAAAGGTACAAATAACTGATGCGACTGAGCGAAAGAGACTCAAATATAAGTGTAAGCTCTATGTCACGATCTAGTGTCTGAAACTGTCTGCTTTTGTTTTCATTATAGACAGTCCAACCCGCTACAATGAAAAGGACCAGAGGAGCATGTTGGTGTGGTGTCCCAACAGTCAGCTGTCTGATGCAATGTGTAAGCTACACACACACGCACGCACGCACGCACACACACAGACCTTACCTCAGATTCACTGGAACAATCTTAACAACTTGACCTTCAGTTTAGTGACTATATGCTGACAGAGGAATATAGTAATTAAAACCTTCATTCTGTCTGTTTATGTGCACTTTCTCTTCACCTCCATCTTTCTTCTCTCTCCTTCATTTATGCACATTCTTTTCCTTAAATCTTGACCTTCTCTACCTGGTTTTCCTGTGTAACCCTCCCCATCATGCTATACATGCATCGTACTATACCCCACTGCCTTTCCTCTCTTTTTCTTGCTCTTTTTCTCTTCATTTCTCCTTCTCTTACTGATCTTTACCCCCTCTTACTTCCTTTTAAACCCATTTTCTCTTCTTCTAGTGGATGAGTACATCCTGATGGCTAAAGAGAAACATGGGTACAACATGGAGCAGGTTAGTTTCATCTTTCCATATTTTTCTTAAAAACTTAAACGACATAGATAGTGGTATATTTAAAAGGTCTAGCCTAATATCACCTACATTTTACAGCAGCTTAACTTTTTTTACCTGTGTTTGTCTTTTTTTGCTCCCTCCTATGACACACTCCCCCATTTCTTCGCCATCCCTCTGTCCTCACCGTTCCATCAGGCCCTGGGCATGTTGCTGTGGCACAAACACGACGTGGAACGCTCACTGGCCGACCTCGCCAACTTCACCCCCTTCCCAGACGAGTGGACGGTCGAGGATAAAGTGCTGTTTGAACAGGCCTTCAGCTTCCATGGCAAGAGCTTCCATCGCATCCAGCAGATGGTGAGAGACTGGGAAGATACCACATACGCACACACGCACAAACACGCACACCCAAGTATATTTAGTATAGGAATTGCTGTCATTTCATTTCATTTTTTGATAATTTAATACTCAAATTTATTGATTGTCTGTGTTTGTGTGTAGCTTCCAGACAAGCTGATCTCCAGTTTGGTAAAGTACTACTACAGCTGGAAGAAGACCAGGACCAGGACCTCAGTCATGGACCGACAGGCCAGGAGGCTGGTCAGCAAGAGAGAGAAAGATGACAGGCATGAGAAACCATGAAACTTTAATAATAACCCCAGGGGGAAACAGAGAATGAAGGGAGAGGAGAAAGCTGGGATGAGTAGAGGGATGGACTGAGGGAAGAGTGACTATTAGAGGAAGGACTGAGCAGAAAGGAAACTTTAAGTTCTCCCAGAAACTACTCACCTGAGATCTGACATTTACAAAACGCTTTTGTTAAATGACACTTGATAAGCATGTCATCCTGGGGAAACAAGAGCCTCATGAATATAAATGAGATGCTTTTGATATTATTTCTTGTCATTTTCAGCTGACATTTTTGAGCATTTCAGGAATAATTTTGGATTATATCAAACATAGTTTTAATTTAGACAGCTGGATGCGGACAAAGCCGAAGCATGCGGTGTGTTTAGTTTAATTTCTTCTTCTTTTTCTTGCAGTAATGATGAGCTGGAGGAAGGAGACCCTGGCAGTGACAGTGACTTTGAGATTGACAACAAGAAAGAGGTGAGCAATGGAAAAATTAATAGTGGTTGTTTGACTGACAGACTGTGTGTGAATGCTTATATAAACACACTTTAGTTTTTTAGTCATGACTTGCCTGAGGAAATCAGCCCAACCAAATCAATGCTCGCTATATCCTTCAATTTCTGCTTCATTTATTATGCATAAATGTAACGCTGCCGTCATGTTGCTGTTGTAAAAATGTAATAATGTGCCTGAAGCTCATTTCTAATATTTGTGTAATTCCTCTGTCGACCAAGGCAGTGAAACAGAACCCCAGCAGCACCAGCTCTGACAAGGCCACCCCCAGTCGCTCTGGGCCGATAAAGAAGGAAAGCATCGGGGCTCAGTACCGCCACCACCCGCTCAGAGCCCGCCGCAGGCCACCCAAAGGCATGCACCTGGACCAGGGAGACATCATGTCCCTGTCAGCCTCTCACGATGCTGGGGTGCTAACTGTACGACAGCTGGACACGCAGTTGGTGTCACTCAAGAGACAAGTATGTTTTTAATCTGGCCTTTTTCTTTGGTCATCCGATTGACTGTAAAGTGTAAATGCACTTAAAATACACTTATAAGATCTACTGTTACTGGTCACATTTTAAAACTGCATCAGCAACAGCAAGACTTGTGACACACTATGTTTATGTACTTTGAGCTAGAGGTTTTTGTTATAGCAGCATCAGTGCTATCAGTCAGAAAACTAACTTACCACACTGTCCCCTCTCTTTCTGTCCCTCCACTCTTTCTCTCAGGTTCAGTCTATTAAACAGAACAACAGTAGTGTGAAACAGAGTCTAAATGAAGGTGTTGACGGGTTCAAACCTGCAGAGGTAAATCTTTTTTTTTCTACATTTTCCTTCTTTTACATCCACCATCTATCCCTGCTTTGATCTTTGTTTCCTGCCTGTATTCACTTTTCTCCGTCTCTGATCTCTCCAGTTTGTCCCTCTCCTCTTTCATTTATTCACTCTGCCCTTCCCCAACTCCCTCCAGATATTATTTCACCCCTTGTGGGACTGAGATTAGTCTTAATCTGCTCTTTCCTCTCTTGCTGTCATTTTCCCCTCTCTCTCCTCTTCTTTCTGACCACCCACTTTACCCCCCTCACGCTCTAATCTCTCCCGACTCTCTCCCAGCCTGCCCCTAAGATGAACTCTCGTTGGACCACAGAGGAGCAGCTCCTGGCTGTGCAGGGTGAGTGAAGGCTGCAGCATCATCTTCCTTCCCCTCCTACAGGTCACCTCATGTTACTAGCTCTCCTCTTTCAGCCTCACATTCACAGGCAGAAGTCAGATTGTTGGACACATTCATATTCATATTGTCCACACACAGGAACTGTCTGTACTGCATGTGTTAGTATTGTATTCATACATACATTGCATACAGTATCTCTCCTGAATTATTGCACCATCCATCCATTGCCTCCACCCCAGGAACTTCCGCTGTGTTTTGACTGGAGAAATCAGTGAATGACATTTTGCCAATAGTATTAATATTAGGATTGATTAGGACTAAAAATGTTTATTTAGGTTAAAAACAAGACTATAAGTTATTATGGTGAAGTTCTTTACTGGTATAAAGACAGATAAGAGGAACAGTTTGGGAACGAGAGCTGAAGAACAAAACTTAATTTGCTCTTTGAGTCAATGCATTTATGTTCTAAAGCAGAAATCAATAACAGAGACACTCAGCAGATCATCTTCTTTGGAGACAGTATGTCTCCGTTGCATTCCTTCATCATATCTCCTAAAATATCTCTGAAATAATGTGAGATAAATGTGTCATCACCTGGTCTGTGAAAATAGCATTTAGTTTTTAAATCTATTACCTGACTAATTTATCTCATTTTCATGGTTTCCAAGATGCAATGGAAATAAAAACAAGTTGTTTGTGGATGTAGTTTCTGTGTTCAGTCAGGTCTTAGTGCTTCGCTTGTGATAATCTGATGCAGCTGGAATACATAGGAGCTACTGGGGTTCAGATTCCATCTGTAACGAGAGTGAATTAAAGCTATAGGAGGTGTAAAGCTGCTTCTGTTCCAGCTCAGTGTCCACAGCACTTTGTCAGTTAAACACACACACTTGTCGTATAGAGGGGCATTCAGAGGAGGATTCATGGCTCATGAGGGTGGGTATTATTTGTTGCTATGGACACACAGTTCTGCCTGCCGTGGCACCCAACAGCATGAATGGGTGTTAAGATCTGAATGACTGATTTTATAATTGCATTTACTTGCAATTATGACCAGATGTTATGGTTATAAAACACATTGAATCTAATTATTATTATCATCATTATGGCTATATTTTCAATGACACTGATCCCTGTTTAGAAATAATGCAGTGATTTACATGAACACATTTGATGAGTTGATGATGTTGATTCTGATGTCTGTGGTGACGGTGGTTGAGCAAAGGTGTCAGTCAAATCTCAAATATGATGAAGTCTATTTTGCTCTTGGGTTCAGCAGGTAGAAGGAGAGTGTTGTGTCTGTTGTATCTGAAAACCCTGGCAGTTTGAGCAAAGTTTAAATTATTCATAAGAACAAACAGCAACTCATTCATGGAACATGAAGGTCAATAATTGCCGATAAACAATTAAAGATTAGATCAGTTGAGACCATTGAGTTAACTTAGTGGGAAAACGTAGAAGTTACAGGAGAAGAGATTTAAACCTCTAGTACTAATCCACTAGTCAGGTGAAATTAAGATTAGATAAGAAAACTCTCCTCTTTCCTTTCCCTTAGCAGCTGCAGGCAGTGTGCCATCCCCAACAACTGCAGCTGTGCAGTGCAAACAGTAGACGAAAGCACGGGCTGAAAGATATGAATGTGTGAAATGATGTGAGTGTGAAGCAGGTCAGGCCTGTAAAAGAGCAGGTGCACTCAGTCAGCTGACCTCAGATGAAGGTTAACAGAAAACACGCATCAACACGCCAGCTCACTCTACATTCACTCTTCTGTTTCCTCTGATACACACTGCACCATTTCTCTGAAACACACAAAGCAAGCAGCTGTTCCTGCAGCTCTTTAAGGGCAATGAAATGAGTGACGCATAGACGCAACATTAACCTGATGTTTTTCCTCTGTCCCCTCTCCAGCTATCCGTCGTTACGGTAAAGACTTTGCAGCCATTGCAGAGGTGATAGGGACGAAGACACCAGCTCAGGTGAGCATCATCTTTCTCAGGTGTTGAACTTGGGGAAAGATTTATGAAGATCACTTCTCTCATCTCTTGCTGTGACCTCAGTCTCACCCTCCACCCTGCAGTTTACACTGAGTGAGCTGCCTATCAGCTCTTCATCTCTTTTGCAATTTCTCCTTCATCCCTATGTCTAGATAAGCATTTTTCTTTATAGGATAACTATAATCTCCATTATTCCTCCTTTCATTTGTCTTCTGCCCTCCATTCTCAGCGTCCATGTCCTTGAATGCGGCACAACTTTATGTCCTCCATCATTTCTTCTCTAACTCTCCATCTTTCTCCTTCGGTTCAGGTGAGTTCGTTCTTCGTGAGCTACCGACGCAGGTTCAACCTGGATGAGGTGCTGAGGGAGTGGGCGGCCGAGCAGGTGGCCACCAGCCGAGACCAGAGAGACCCCAGGAGGAGCGGCGAGGAGATTGCGGCAGCTACAGATGGAGGCGCAGAGGAGGACGAGGTGAGGCCTGATCTGGACACTGTAGTTCTTAAGAAATGTTACTCAAACAGGAGGAAACTGAGCATTTGTTGGGGGACTATTTTCAGCTGCGGATTAATACACAGTTGATGAACTAGAGGGTATCTGGGGCAGCAGGAAGGTGTATGTGGGACTAATTGAAAATAACCTACAGTGTGTAATGAACATGTCACCATTACAACAGTGGTTTTTTGATGTGTTTTAAGATGTATGGAAGGATAAGATGCATCAGGTCATAATTAGGATCAGATCATTGTTGGTTTGGATCTTTTTATGGAATTTATCACTAAGAAAAATATAGATCAAGTTTATCCCTTATTAGTAAATATTATATTTTGTAAAAACTATAACACAGTTTAGCAATGAATGATGTAGACACAAAATGGCTGTTCAGTGTCTTGAGTCTGTACTTAGCTGTCACACAATACAATATATTCAAAATTGAGTCAAAGAGAAACTTTAAAGTTAGGAGGTAAAACTCCACGTTGTTATCAGAACCAACACTTTCCAGGACTCAGCTTCTTCAGAGCTTCAGATCCTCGTTGAACCGCTTTATCTGTTCTATATGACTAATGTGAAATGTATCCATCATATGTGATGAGAGTGTTTGACAGAAGGAGCAGGTGGTTGTAATATTTAGTTGTCCTCTGTGGCGTCTGCTGGGGTTTAAAGCTGAACATGTGTCTCCTCGTCATCTATCTCTTTTTACTTTTTCCCTCTGATGTTTCTGTCTCCGCCTTCTCTCTTGTTTTTTCCCACAACTGCATCCAACTGTCTTTCTCCTTATCTCACTCCATCTTGTTTGGTTGCCTGCTGATTGTCCTCCCCCCTCCTAACTCCCTCCTTCACCTCTGTCTCCTCCCTCCCCTCAGGTCAAAATGGAGGACTCTCCCTCAGACGCTGCTGGCAGCTCCTCTCCCCCCTCTTCAACCCAGACCCCATCTTCTCTCTCCCAGCCTCCTCCGCTGCTGCGCCCAGCGCCTCCCTCGGCTCCCCCCAGCCTCCTCCGTCAGCCTCCTCCTCTCCAGACACGCCCGCTCCAGAACCGCGCGCCACACAACCACCCGCCACCTCCGCTCATCCGGCCCGCAGTGACTTCCTCCTCTTCCTCCACCGGGGGCTCCAGCCTCAGGGCTTCTCCTCCCAGCTCCTCCTCCACCACTGCGGCAGGGCAGATGCCTCCGTCGCTGGTCGGGCTCAAAGTGGAGCAGTCCAACTCGCACTGATGACACACACATGTATGAAAATAGGGGTAGAAACACACACACACAAACACACACAAATGAGCTTTCAGACAAACACAATGCTTTCTCTCTTCTCAGAGAAAATTCCTACACCCCTGTAACTCTATCGCTCCTAACCTTCGCTCCTGAGACCATTACGCATCACATGACCACATGATCGATTGAACACGCTCAGGTCCCTATGGTGACGTCACAGCTCGTAAAATGTGGCAGGAAGAGTGTGAGGGCCCCTCAACAAGTCCACTTTGTAAGGCAGTGAACCCCTTTACTGTACTGACAAACACCTACCTCCAGACCATAGTTCTCTAGACACACACACACACACACACACACACACACACACACACACACACACACACACACACACACACACACACACACACACACAGGGAACAAAAGGAATACAATCCCTGAACACAACAAAAAGAGACACTGGATCATCAAGCTGTTGAAGAAAGCCATGACCACAGAGAGAAAACCCACCTGCTTGTCTCCATGGCAACTGTTGAACATCTGGATTGCAGAGGAGTGTGGTTGAACACACACATATATATATATATATATATATATATATATATCTGTACTGTAGGTGCGACCGGGCGGGTATCAAGTCATCCAAACAGCCTTCAGGAAAAACAAATGATGAATTAAACGAGGGAAAGAAAAGATGAGAATGGAGGGAGAGTTGCCCACATCTGAGCCAAACCTGCTCCTCCTGAGAGGTCGTGTAGATTAGAAAATCGGAATCGAAAATGAGAAAAACAGGCGGAAACGTGAAGAAATCCACCTTTTCGTTGGATCTTTGCTTTAAAACTTGGCCCCTCAAAGAGGAGCGAGAAGGTACAAAGAAACCGAGCTTTGTAATCAAAGCTGTGAGTTTCTTTCTTTGGCTTTTAATAGTTGAAATTGTTGGTTCAGATTTGGGCAAAAATGGAAAAAGAAGAGCAGGAGATCACAGCTCTCTCTTCTCTCATAGCCATGTATTACTAGTATTTACTGGAGTGATGTTTTCCTTTTTTTTGACTAGACTTAAAGGTGAGCCCTAGATAGACAGTTAGTTACTGTAAGTAGTTTAGATAGTGCATACTTTATTATTATTATGGTGATAATTATTGACTCAGCACTAAGGAGAAAGGGAGCCTTTTAACACGTGTGGTTGGACTGTGTCTCACATTTCAACAGGACATTTTGCCACAGTTTATTTTCACTGGCCCAGTGCTATGTCGCTTACTTCTGAGGAACATTTCCAGTCGTCAACCCCAAACACTGGTCGACACATTGGCTCCTGTGTGTGATATGATGGGATGACTCTCTGACCTCCTACAGATTTGTGTACACTGAAAAAGAAAAAAATGTTCTGCCAAAGTCTGTTATTGCTTTAAAAGCACACTGTTTGTCCATGTCTCCAGTTAGCTGTTTTACAGTGTTGGCTACTTGCTACATGTTAGACACAAGAGTGCGACATCACTTTCATGTCCAGAGTTAACTAGATGGCAAGACTCTGTACAGTCATTATGAAGCTACCACCAGCAGCCGGCTAACTTAGCTTAGCACGATGGAAACAGCAGCTCCCCTGGTTCTATCCAAAGGTAACAAAGTCTGCCTAACAACACCTCTAACGCTGCAGTCAACACATTTCTTTTGTTTACTTTGTACAAAAACAAGTTTACTTTTTTTTGTGGCTGGACTATTTCTGCTTCTTTCCATGAGTACCTGGTTCGCTGGTTGCCAGGCAACTCGTCCCGACCAAGAAATAGTCCAGCACCTGCTAAATCCTAAAACAAATGGTTGTGGTTTTGACACTTTAAGGATTATACAAATGAAATACAACATGTGAATTTGTGGGTTTTAGAGGAGCTGGTGGGAGGATTCATTACCTCTGGACAGAGGCAGCCGGAGTGTTTCCAGTCTTTGTGCTGGTGGAAGCATCACTTAACATACGGACATGTCAGAGTGAAGTTCTCTCTCTGCAAGACAGTGAATAATGTCAAAGTATTCATATAGGTCAACGTTTCTGTAGGAGACACAAAATGTCAGTGGTTGGTTGAGATGATTTCAGTTCAGTATTCTGTTCGTCAGCACATGGTAGGAATTTACAAAGACGTGATGACAGCTCTGTGACGCCCTGTGAGTCCAGTCAAGGCAGCTTTCTCTGTGGTAGTCANCACACATATATATATATATATATATATATATATATATATCTGTACTGTAGGTGCGACCGGGCGGGTATCAAGTCATCCAAACAGCCTTCAGGAAAAACAAATGATGAATTAAACGAGGGAAAGAAAAGATGAGAATGGAGGGAGAGTTGCCCACATCTGAGCCAAACCTGCTCCTCCTGAGAGGTCGTGTAGATTAGAAAATCGGAATCGAAAATGAGAAAAACAGGCGGAAACGTGAAGAAATCCACCTTTTCGTTGGATCTTTGCTTTAAAGCTTGGCCCCTCAAAGAGGAGCGAGAAGGTACAAAGAAACCGAGCTTTGTAATCAAAGCTGTGAGTTTCTTTCTTTGGCTTTTAATAGTTGAAATTGTTGGTTCAGATTTGGGCAAAAATGGAAAAAGAAGAGCAGGAGATCACAGCTCTCTCTTCTCTCATAGCCATGTATTACTAGTATTTACTGGAGTGATGTTTTCCTTTTTTTTGACTAGACTTAAAGGTGAGCCCTAGATAGACAGTTAGTTACTGTAAGTAGTTTAGATAGTGCATACTTTATTATTATTATGGTGATAATTATTGACTCAGCACTAAGGAGAAAGGGAGCCTTTTAACACGTGTGGTTGGACTGTGTCTCACATTTCAACAGGACATTTTGCCACAGTTTATTTTCACTGGCCCAGTGCTATGTCGCTTACTTCTGAGGAACATTTCCAGTCGTCAACCCCAAACACTGGTCGACACATTGGCTCCTGTGTGTGATATGATGGGATGACTCTCTGACCTCCTACAGATTTGTGTACACTGAAAAAGAAAAAAATGTTCTGCCAAAGTCTGTTATTGCTTTAAAAGCACACTGTTTGTCCATGTCTCCAGTTAGCTGTTTTACAGTGTTGGCTACTTGCTACATGTTAGACACAAGAGTGCGACATCACTTTCATGTCCAGAGTTAACTAGATGGCAAGACTCTGTACAGTCATTATGAAGCTACCACCAGCAGCCGGCTAACTTAGCTTAGCACGATGGAAACAGCAGCTCCCCTGGTTCTATCCAAAGGTAACAAAGTCTGCCTAACAACACCTCTAACGCTGCAGTCAACACATTTCTTTTGTTTACTTTGTACAAAAACAAGTTTACTTTTTTTTGTGGCTGGACTATTTCTGCTTCTTTCCATGAGTACCTGGTTCGCTGGTTGCCAGGCAACTCGTCCCGACCAAGAAATAGTCCAGCACCTGCTAAATCCTAAAACAAATGGTTGTGGTTTTGACACTTTAAGGATTATACAAATGAAATACAACATGTGAATTTGTGGGTTTTAGAGGAGCTGGTGGGAGGATTCATTACCTCTGGACAGAGGCAGCCGGAGTGTTTCCAGTCTTTGTGCTGGTGGAAGCATCACTTAACATACGGACATGTCAGAGTGAAGTTCTCTCTCTGCAAGACAGTGAATAATGTCAAAGTATTCATATAGGTCAACGTTTCTGTAGGAGACACAAAATGTCAGTGGTTGGTTGAGATGATTTCAGTTCAGTATTCTGTTCGTCAGCACATGGTAGGAATTTACAAAGACGTGATGACAGCTCTGTGACGCCCTGTGAGTCCAGTCAAGGCAGCTTTCTCTGTGGTAGTCAAAAGTCCTGTCCTGTCCAGGCACAGAGCAAGGAGGCCTGAGAGGTCAAAGGGCATCTGGAGGAAGTTTCTGCTGTAACATTAACCCGTCGATTAATTCAGACGGTGAACTGTCAGGAAATGCTGCGTTTTCCTTCCCAGCCCTACCACAGTCAGGTTTCTGCCTCCTAAGGTTTGATATCAGGCAACTTCACGAACAAATGTAGATGACTGAACAACATTTTCTATGGTACTTTCATTTTTCTTTTCTTTTTTTTTTTAGACATAACCTGTTAGTCTCATGCTGAATCTAGCCTCCCTCACATTCCAGTTGTTTGTCTTTCACTGCCTTCTGAGTCATGTATGAACCTTTGTTTAAACTGTGTTTCACTCAGTCTCACATCACCTGCTTTTGTTAGAAGAGGCCTCCAGTGTCGACTTGAACGCAGCACAGAGGGAATGGAAGCAGCCTGTCGTCACTACATTTGGCTTTAACGTGGCTTGCCTTTTGACTTTGCTTGGACTTGTTTTCTTTGTTTCAAAAACTGCTTGTGTGTACTGTATGTGAGAAGTTGTTTACATTGTGGAAACTGAACTGTTTGTGTTTGACTGATGTTTTTTTTTTTTAGAATAAAGAAATGACCAAATATCACTTTGTCAGTCATTCATTTTGAAAGTTTATCCAATATTGATTTTTTTTACTCAATCTGAGCTGTAATATCGACCTAATTTACTCTGAGTGGATAGTGTGCAACTGCATTGTGTGAGCTTCATGTGCACATCATCTGTTCCCAAATGCCAAATCTTGTCAAAACACCATCTGTTGACTCCCAACAGGTTGGACCACCTGCAGCTCCCACATTCCTGAGCGGGGCTGGGGACACTACCTGTGCACCAGCGAGGGAATCGCCCTGTTTACTGTCGACAAACAAACAAACTGTGAGCAGAGAGGAGTTGAAATTATAAAGTTTAAGGTGCTCAAAAACTTAAACATAAAGTTAAACATAAACCGGTGCTTATGAGATGGTACACAGTTATTGAAACAGTTTCTTCTCATTAGGTCAAAGAAGGAACACCGCAGCATTGGCTGCATCAACATTTTTTTTTAGGAAACTGGCAGGAAATAGAGCCCATAGAGAATCCTGTCTGACACGTCTGCAAGTTTTTAACAATTTGATCATTAAGATAAATAATGTGGCTGTTCACAAAGGCAGATTATCAACCAGGCAAAGCAGCGACCCCGAGTCAACTCCAATTTCATCTGAGGGTCATCCTGTCTTGTAGACGAGCCAAACTTGTCTGAGATTTTAATACATTCATTGTTTTACTTTATGTTGTGCATATTCTTAAATAGTTTGTTCATCAATTTACTACTAACTAACTGACACACCTGGGGGCAGTAAGGGCTAAAACGAAAGTTATTATTTTCATTATTGATGAATCTGCAGATTATTTTCTTTATTAAGCGATTAATTGTTCGGTCAGAGGTGACATCAAATGGCTTATTATATGACTGGTCATCCTTAACCCTAAATGATTTATTTACTACAGTGAGGCAAGTAAAAGCAACAAACATTCATATTTTGGGGATTTTTGCTTAAAAAAAAAAAAACTTGAAAGATTCATTTATTATCACAATAAAGAAAAAATTATAAAGAAGGACAAGTGATCAGTGTGTAGTTTCAGATCTGACGCCCTCTGTCTCGAAGACTTTCTGAGGAGCCAGAAGTTGGTAGTAACTCTTACCTGCTGGGTCAGTAGGTGCCTGGAATATGTTTATGCAGCTGTGGTTGCTCAGAATGATTGATGCTGAGTCACATTGAGTATAGACTGTATATCTCCTTTAAAAGATCCTACACCGGAGTTCCTGTTAGAAGAGTGAGATTGTCTGATATTGTTAAACACACACACAAAAACAACAACCGTAATATGTATAATATTCACACAAAAATACTTTTTACACACCTGGAAGTAGTTTTCATTCACTTACAAACTTCAACACCTGCACAGGGAATGATTGATTTTCTCTCACAGCGCCCCCTTGTGCAAATCTGAGGCACCAGTAGATGCAAACTGAGCATGTTTCACCTTCATTATACTGAAACTAAAACACAACCACTGTCCATTTCAACTTTCAGCATGTGAGAAATACATGGTCGCACATGACAGCAGTACTGTGGGAGACAGATTGGATATGTATAAATAGTTGAAAAAAAAAAAAGAAGCCATTTAGCTGCTATTCTGGAGCTTTCAGTCATATCACATGATCTCTATCTGCCAGTGTAGGTTTATACATCGATGAAGAAGATAATGGAGCTCTGAACAGTTTCTCTGCTAACCTAAGATAATGTGCTGATGAAGGTCATGTGGCATGATTGAAATATCCAGAAGTACAAAATGAATCTTTGGTGAGTTTGTTGAGTCAACTGCTTTTTCCAATGAACTTTGAACTGCATGCTCAAAAAATCTGCAATCACAAAAAAAAAATATAATAATAATAATTTTCAAACGTTTTTTTCAGTTGTATTCAGTGTGTTAAAATGTAAACAGGAGTGACTGACGTGAGTTAACCCGGGTTTATTCTGACTCATGGGCATAACAGAGGTCTGGCATCGGATCAGAAGATCAAGTGAAATGACTGAGAACCTTACAACAGCTACTAAACGGACTTGAAGGAGAGAATTTTTCCTTGGAGAACAGGTTATGTAACTTCACACTTTCATCTTGCTTCTCATATAATGGATTTCAGAGTCACACTATCATTATATCATTGTTTTTATTACTATCATTGTAATTTTTCATCATTTTGTCTTTGCACAAAAAAAACAAACAAACAAATAATACATTTTTCAGGAGTTGATCACCCCTCCCGACCCCAAAAACCCACCACTACAGTTACAGTTTGCTCAAAACACATTTAAAATCAATGTAAATTACAGCAATGTAAAACGAAATAATGTAAAATAAAATCAACCCTGAAAGAGATAATATAACAGCAACAGCCAGAATAATAATTAGAATCCAATACCCAGCACCTTAATACAATGATCAACTTTTAAAGAAAAATCTGACGTATTAAAAACTGAAAGAAAATAACGACAGTGAGTCATCGTGAAAGAAAGAAAGAAAAGTGTTAAGTTAGGTACAACCAGCTGACGGGACTCAGTCGTGCCCCCGTTCTCTGACCCCACGCACATGTGTGTTTTTTCTTCTGTTGCGACAATCTGGAGGATCAAAACGCACTGGGAGAGAGGGAGAGAGAAAAGGAAGCGACTTCTTCTGGTTTGTGGTTTTGAACGCGAACATGTGCTCTGATATGAAAAATGTTTTGACAACGAAGTCTTTCCTGCTTTCTGTCTCCGCTTCAAGCCATTCTGGACCGATATGGCCTAAAAAAAAAAAAAAAAAAAACAATCTAGCAAAAAATAAAAAGATATGAAAAACAAAAATGGGCAAAAAAAAATGAAGGAGCAGTAGTCGTCACCACCACCATCATCAACATCATTAAATACATCGAGAACTCCTGCACTTTGGGGGGTTTTGTGTTTGATCCGATACACTACGAGCTGTGTTTGGATGTTAAATGTGTGTTTGTGTGTGTGTTAAAGGTGCACTACACCGAAAAGGCAGCAATGATATGATCCGACATGACCCCTCACACCCCCCACCCCCCCTGTTCCTCCCTCCCTCCCTCCCAAAACAAATCCTAATCTGTACAAACCCAAAATTTCAACGACACAAAAATATATTATCAAATCAAAACTAGCAGAAGAAAATAATTCACCATTCGTTGTCGTCGTCGATTCTTTTTGTTTCTTTTTTTTTTTTTTTTTTTTTTTTTTTTTCCAGTGATCTTTTATAATTAATTCACACACACACATACTGTTTGTTACATACTCCAATGACACCTTTTTGTTGTGTGTTTGCTCTTTGGGAACATGTGTAGCAGAGAGCGTGATGAGGGAGGGAAACAAAAAACAAAAAGAAAAGAAAAAAAAAAGAAAGAAAAGAAATGCGTCGGTTCAGGGTTGACATTCTGGATATGAAGGCGTGAAGCCAACCAAAGTGATACCAACATTTCAAAAACAAAAAAATACAAATTAACTCATCATCATTGGAGCATTTATGTGCAGACATATGCAACAAAAACAAACCCCAAATTTAATTCTTCAAAGAAAGGCAACATGAAATCCATCAACAGCCCCGTCCGTGAACTGTCCTTCCCTCCCCAGGTTCCAATATGCCCCCCTTTTCCAGTGCACAACTCTTTTTTAAAAGCCTTAAAATAAGAAGAAACTAAATAAAAAATAACAAGTACGGACTCAAAGTTGCAGCCCGTATGATCAATGATGACATCAAGTCTTAACTGGCCTCCTCGGACTCGATGGCGCGAGAGAAATTAAAAATGAGGAAGAAAAAGGGAGTGATGAGGTGAAAAGATGGATGTGTTTGTGCTGAATTCAGTCTGAAATTAGAGGAAGAGAGGGAGGTGAAGAGTGTGAGTGTGTGTGCGTGTGAGGGGAGGAGGGAGGTCGTGGAAGGATGGATCAAAAGTTCATTTCAGGGCGGGAGGGGAGGTTTGGGCGGGCAGGTGGAGGGTGGAGAGGGTCCTTTAACCAACGACAGCAGAGTTTGTCCATCCAGAAAACATGTGTCGGTGTGTGTGTGTGTGTGTGTGTGTGTGTGTGTGTGTGTGTTAATGTGTGTGATAGTGGGCTTCAGCAGCCAAAGTCCTGGCTCAGTTGGAGTCCATTCAGTTTTGGAGGAACAATCAGAACAAATTCAATCAAAACTCTTTTGAGTTTTCCAGCAAAATAAGGCTCCAAACTTTCTGTCAATCGTTCAGAGAGAAAGTAGAGCATTTTTTTTTTTCAGCATTCCTCCGCTTTCTTTGTCCTCCATCCAACCCCCATTTTCACCCGGTGTCCCCCCCTCCCTACCCCAAAAGACCTGGCAGCAGAACCGTGCAGAGAAACGGAATAAATAGCAGGAAGAAGTGACAGGAGTGGTCAAAGTGATCAAAGTGTGACTCCTAAAAAACAGAGGGAGCAGATCGGACATGCAGAAGAGTGGAACGTCTAAGTAGAACGTGACAAAAAAAAAACAAAAAAACAAAACAAAAAAAACCCCCAGCAGGGAGAGAAGACCTCGGTCTGTAAGTACTTCACAACTCTGAGCAAATCAGCTCAGAGTTTCTACTCGCAGGGCCTCAAGAACTGAAGGAACAAAACTTCTAGAAAAGGAGAACGTTTTCTAGTCTCAGAGAACCAATAGCCCTACGTCAGACCTTTGTCCAGATAACAATCGTGTTATTTTTAAAGTGATCCCACCCTTTAGCTTACCTCCTGACCTCCACAGTGCCCCCACCCCACCTACAGCATCATCTTCATCCTCGCTATCACCCCCTTCATCCTCCCACCTCCTCCTCCTCCACCCTTTAATCTCATCTCTCCTCACTGCTCCTCCGCACTCACAGTTTGAGCTCGTTGGCAATCTTTGAGGCAATGTTCTTGAAGGCGATGGACGTGCCCGAGATCCGCTTGAAGCGCACGCCGTTGAGGGAGAGCCGCGGCAGCTTGCACACCTCCATCTCCCACTGGACGAAGTCGTCGCGCGCCGGGTTGCCCGAGACGCACAGCAGCATGTAGCGCTCGCGCAGCTCGTACTCGCAGCTGTTGGAGTCGAGCACCTTGCGGATCTCGCGCATCATCTCCATGGGCTCCATGGACGACGTGGTCTTCATGGACCAGGTGAAGCGCAGCGAGCGGGGCTTGGCCGAGTCCTTCTGGCTGGCGATGGCCGGAGGGGTGCCGGTGCCACCTGCGGGAGAGGAAGGGGTGAAGGATGAGCAATAAGGAGGCAGGACGGAGGAAGGATGGAAGGAATCGAATTCAAAACCATGAGAGGGGATGAGCATTAGAAACATTTCAATATAATCAAGTCTAGGATGTTGATATTAAATGAGTGTTCACAAAATACTGCACGTGACTCTGACGACCTACCGGTGTTTCCAGATCCTGGTGAGGAGTTGTTCTCATCGTTGTTGGAAGAGGAGGAGAGAACGCCACCGGATGTCTTTTCCGACTTGTCCACTGTACTGCTCAGCATGGACCTGAATGAAGGGGCGGGAGGGTGGAGGAGAAGGAGGAAAGAGAATGAAAGAAAGGACGGATAAAGAGGAGATAAGAGAAGAGGGTAGGGGGAGAAAAAAGAGAGGGAGAGGTGGGGAGAAGGAAGGATGAGGGTGGAAGTAAACAGGCAAGAGGGAAGAAGAAATGAGCAGAGAGAAAAAGAGGAAACGTGTCAGAATTGTTTTAAAAGGTAGAGACAAAAAAAGGGGGGAGGAAAGGAGAGGAAGGATTGAGAGGAAGAGAGAGATGATGAGGTTTTGGAATTGAATGAAGACAAAAAGCAAAATAATTTTAAGTACCCCTGTGTGTGTTTGTGTGTTCACATGTCTCAGATCACAAAGATGTGTATGAATTTATATGAGTGTGTGTTTGTGAGCATTTCATGTGTACTTGCACACAAACACACATTTGGGTACTTGGGTTCTGATTTCCCCCCTCTCCCTCTCTCACACACTCACACACTCACACACACACACACACACACACACACACACACACACACACACACACACACCACCATGCAGGTCAACCTCCACACCATCACTAACTCTCTGGGATGCTACCATTCACTGCTAATCTCCCGTCCCCTGATTGGTTAAACCGCTATCACCATCACCAACCAATTATACATCCCAGCTCCGCCCCCCTCTCCCAGCCATTCACAACAAGCTCAGAGATCATCTACTGATTGGCTCCAGTCTACTGATTGGCAGGCGGTTTTGGTAGAGCCTGGGGGTTTGTGGGGGATTTTCGGTTTTTCGGGCTGTTCTGTATCTCACCTGCTCCCCTCATCCCGACCCTCTCCCTCATACGGACTCCTCGAGAAAAATCAACACAAGTTTAGTCTTTTTTTTAGGGGCAACATCTGCACTCTTAAACAGATAGTAAATCATCTGGCTGAGCACAGTCCCGCTGCTCGCCATGCCTGACTGAATGTTCCAATCCGACCACTTAAAGCCCTGACGCCAAAAATCTAATTCCACTCCAGCTGCTCGAATTTAAGCCCAGAGCCACCTGAGGACGTCACAGTCCACAATGCATTGCTACGGCAGCTGCTTAAGGTTCCAGTGCCAATCCACTCTGTGCGGCCACTTTCTTACAGCTCCACCACTCAGCAGACAACATGAGAGCTGAACGGTTTGAAAAGATGAGAACAGGATCGAGCTGAACCAGCTGTTTGTAAATCCATTACTAACATTCATGTGTGAAGTCCATCCAAAGCTCTTCGTTACTACCGGTTTTAACTAGTTTTGCTACTTTCAAATTTCCAATTTAGTTACTTGCTAAACTGGCTTGCACCATTAAAACATAAAGAGAGTCTTAGCTACATACATCTTCAGCTATGTGTAAATTGGTTGCTAGGTTGTAGAGCCATCAAATCAAACAGGAAGTCACTGTAGCATCGCAAGCTACATGTTTCAGAGGTAGAGGTATTCATGTGGTTTACACTGAGACACCTAACTGACATTATTGTTCATTTGGTCTGACATTTTTAGAACTTACAAAGAGCTGGTGCAGCCAGCTCCAGGATGGACCAGAAAAAAATGATGGATGGATCAGAACGGCCTGAATTGAAATGGAACCAGTTTAGAAAATGAGCTGGTCAAAATTAAATGGAAAGAGAGCTCAAAATGTACTGGTTCATTTTAGAGCGGAATTTAAGTACAGGCCAACAGGCTGGAACCGAATGGAATGGCTTGGAATGGAATGGAATGTATTCCAACAAAATGAAATGATGGGAACAAAATGTGAAGTGGACCAGGATGGAATGGTTTGGAACAGAATGGTCAGCATGGTGAGGGTGGGTCCTGTGAAAACCTTTATTAGTAACACTGGACCTCCACACAGGCTGTTTAACACACAGACACAGAGACACACACACACACAAAGACACAGACAGGCACGCACGCACGCACGCACGCACGCACGCACGCACGCACGCACGCACGCACGCACACACACACACGCACACACACACACACACACACACACACACACACACACACAATTTTAACATTACTTTAGCTGCAGCCTGTGTAACACTAATCAGCAGACATGTAAAACGAAGACAAACTGAAGGGAAAAAAAACAACAACAACATAGAAACACAAAGACAGACAACAGCAAAACACATGCAGACGGTGGATGGACATTGACACACACGACAAATTCAACAGTTTATGGAGTTTATGGTCTTAAATTCATTCTGCTGAGGGAAAAGGGATCATTCCTGTTTTGCCCCATTAAAAAAATAACCAAAAACATCATGTAAAATCCCTCCTGCAACAGAAACATGGTTAAAAATGAGCACATGGAAGATGACAAATGGGAGAAGTGGGAATAAGTTATAACAAGGCTTTCGTAAATAATAATAAAATATAGAGGTAAACTGGTGAACAGTGTAAAATAAATCATTTGTGGCATTTTGCATGTCCGGCTGTGACTTAGCTAAACATGAAGGGATGCAAAATGGCTCCCAGAAAGGGGCTTTGTGACATAAAGGGAAAACAAAGTACTGATAAGATGACTATTTGATCTCAGTTATACCTCACATACACAGTCCACTTCAAAGAATCTATTCTTTTACTCAGTTCCATAACAACCTATTCACCCTGCATTTATAAATAAATATTGTGTCTCTCATATTTCAAATCAAATGATGTACAAGAATCTTTAAATAACCTAAATGTATTGTTGCGTATATAGAAGAACTGAAAGGTTTCAGAACACTGTGAAATTAATGTAGTATTACAACTTCCAACCACCAGGTGGAGCAATGGTCCAGATTAAAGAAAATTGCTCTACCTGCTGGTAAGAAGAAGCCAACACACTCAAAAAGCAAGTGTGTGTGACACATGAGGGCGTGAGATGTGTGATCAGCGTTCACATATATAAATGTGATATGTATCAACATGTGTTTAGCATCTGTATATAGTGCAAATATCTACATGAGCATGGTGGAAATACTGTGTGTTTATGCAAATGTCTGGGTGCGTCAGTCCAAATGTACATTTATCTGCATGATGTGTCATCCGTGTGTGTGTGTGTGTGTGTGTTCACAGCATAAAAGGTCTTTTCCAGCCAGAGTAGGTCAAAGCCATCCAGTTCTGTTGCTGCTGCTGTTAGAGCCAGTGCCAGAGTGAGAACAGAGCGATGGAAGAAAAAAGAGTGCAGCCTCCAGAAAAGAGTGCAGCCTGAGAAACACTGCAGCTCCGTCCCTCCTGGGTCCTGTCATCCTCTCTACATCCATCCACAACTAACAACTACAACCAGGGACTTATTCTTACACAGCACACTACCTTCCCAGTGTAAGCTACACAAACTTTCACAATAAAAAAAAAAAAACTAAAAACTAAAAACAACTTCAGTGTCTATGGCTGAGGAAATTTAGTTATGGTGACCCAACTGATGAAGGTGAGGTGGGTGATGGTTTGGTAGGTGGCGTTAGCAAGAATGATGGTTAGCAACATTAAACAATCCTGGGTGATGTTACATAACTGGGCTGACATGAAAACACCTGATCATAACAGACACCTCCCATCCTTGTGCTTCGTTTATCTTTCATATGTATTAAAAACCGAATGCAGGAGTTTGGTCGATGGGATGACATTTTTTACCATTACTTCGTCAATGTTTAAGATTTGGAGAGAGAGTTCTCTATTAGGCTGAACAGAAACACATTACCTGCATCTGAAACTAAGACAAGGAAAGGGTTAAGACCAGGAAGGGAGCAGTTTGATCTATTGCACCATTACAACTTGACCTAAATCTGGGACGCTACAGTTGAGATACGAGCTCACACACACTACCTCGCAAATAAATGGGGAAAAAAAAGGGGTGGGGGATGAAGAAGAGGTGGGACGATGGAGGGACGAAGAGGAAGATGGTTGAGGTGTTATTGTGCCGCATGATGATGGAATGAGTGTGTTAAATGCGTGAGTGGGTGAGGGGGAAGTTAGTAAAAAAAATAAAATAAAGAAAAAATATAAGTGGGCCAAAACACGGCACTCAAAACCAGAAGGCTCAAAAAAGGGGCCAACCACAGAAAAAAAAGGAGGAGAAAAGATAAGGCTCAAGGCACAAAAGGAAGATTTCAACAAAAAGCCGCACAAAACACCAAAAGGGGAGGAATATATATATATATTTATATATATGTGAAATATATATGAAGAAGAGAATATACGTATATATATCAAGGGGTTATATTTAACGTTGGGGATGTTGCCTACCTTCTCGGAAACCTGAACGAGAGATTTCTACAAAAACAAAAGAGGGATAAAGAAAGAAAGAGAAAAAAACGTATAATGTATAAAACGTATATATTTATGACTTTGCTGTAAAAGACAAGCTGCCCTCTGAGTAGCAAACGTCAAACTGTCAGAAATAAAAGTGAACCAGGTTCACTTGGAATTGAAGCAGGAAGCACAGACCAACATTAACATGAACAAGACAAAAAGAAAATCAGTGCCATCAACTTTCAGTCTCAATGTGTTTAAATGTGGGGATTACTGGTGTGAATGTGTGAACATTATTAAACGCACACCGGGAGGAGCGTAGGAGCCCACCTTAGGGGGATTTAATGGGCTCTGTGGGAAAATCCCATTAGGAGACCCCGTCTGAACAGTCAACCCCCCCCCCCCCCCCCCCCCCCCNCACACCCCCCCCCCCCCCCCCCCTCCCAACATGAAATTAAGTGCTCCTCAACATACAGAGCAGTCCGGGGTGATCCTGAAAAGAAGTGTTTGGTGTGGTGAATAGTTCAAATATAAAAACTAAAAAAATAAATAAAAAAGATAGATAGTAACCCACCTCTTATACACAGACAGACACATTTCAAATGAGAAAGTGCAGGTTAAGCAACAACTTAAACTTTAACACACTTAAAACACTCTTTAACACACTGAAACTTAAATCTCCTACACACACAACACACAAACTCGCAAACACACCAATGTATTTGAAGGACGGAGAAACATCACTCTCCAGACCAAGCGAAAAAGTGCTGTGGTGAGGTTATATGATATGCTAATAAAATACACAGCTTTAGTGAATGTGTGTGTGTGTGTGTGTGTGTGTGTGTGCGCGTGTGCAGTCAAACTGTACAAATGCAACACAATCTCTCTGTGTCCACCACCTCTACTTCCTACCAGCAAGCCAAGTTGAGTGTGTGTGCGCATGCATGTGTGTCAAGGTGTCCCCACTAGCGGTATTTATAGTTGAGGGAAAAGTGATATCTCCGGTGTAACCATGGATACTGCCGCCACAGAGCTACAGTATCTCTGAGTGGGAGGCCTGGAGAGTGCCTGTGCCTGTACCTCCGCCTCTTCCACACAGACACACACAACACTAACACACACACACACATGCTGGCAAGACACTTGATCATTCTCAATTCCTGCCTTGTTTAATCTGACTAAATCACCAAAAATACAACCGCACTCTCACTTTCTCGCCCACATTTCAACAGCTGTATTCAAAATGAACCTCCACGGCTGGTTGGCGACACAGGTGCAACGACGAAAATCTCGACCTTACCTGCTCACTCTGCTTCTCATCCTGTCATTGCTCACTTGGACCTCCCTTTTTCAGTCCTCATCGTTCCTGCCACCTTTACACCCTCACTTCCTGTCACCTCCTCTCCTGCACACCTGTCAGTCTGACTGTGGTCTCTGATATTAATAAACCCCGCTGCTCCTCTTCTCGTCTCTTCTACACTCTTGTCCTTCTCTCTCATACTGACTATGTACAGACTTCATCACCCTTCACACATGATTTGGGTAAAACACTGCCAATTATTTACTAAATAAACAATATCTTAAGTATATGCCTATGAATTTATTTTCTCCAGCCTTGTTGCATAATACAATTCACCATTTTCCTTTTTAAGAATCTGCTAATCTGCTATTGACTCATCTATCTGTAAAAAGTTATATTTTAGTGCAATGTAATTTAAAGGACAAGTCAGGTGCCAAAAAAAAATCCATGAAAAGACAAAAAAAAATCTTATAAAATATCTCACTCCTCTGTGTCACAGAGCTCCATTGTTGTCCAAAAACTATTGAACATGGGCACTGTAATTTATTTTGAGTCACTCCCACACTTATCATCGTGCTGCCGTAAATACTCACTAAAGCACTAAGTATGTATTAATCTGTATGTATTAACTGTATTAATCTGGTTTTGAGTAATGTTTGCTACAAACCACAGAGCCCAGCTATTTATATTATTATTATTATTATTATTATTTGACCTTTTTTAAAAATCTAATTACAGTGGGGTCCAAAAGTCTGAGACCAAATTCCCATGAATGTGAAAGTGGTCTCAGACTTTTGGACCCCACTGTATATAATTGTGGTCTTTTTATTTATAATTCCTGTATGTATGGACATGGCTGAATGCCACAGACAGAGTAGAGAAGTCATAAAGTCTTGAGAGACTAACTAATAGATAATTTGATTTTGGTCTTTTTATAGATTTTTTTTTTTTTTTTTATGGGAAATGGGAAGAAAATGTAGAATAGCATTAGTTCATCGCTTAATCATTGAAACCCTAATTTTCCAATAAAATTACCGCCTGTAAATAATATATTTTCACTAGCATTATTCAACATATTTCCTCAATACAAATCTTGTTGTGTACTTCAAGGTCATTTTGGCATCAGCACATATCAAATTCAATTCAAACTAACGCCAATATTTATTTGTCAAAAGCCAAAATAAGCTAATATCAGTCTAGCTTTCCCTTCCACTTTTATAACCACAATGTTCTCTTTCACTTCACTGTATTTACACAGGGAGTTGTTTCACTGCTACAAAACTGACTTCACTTCCAGAGAAAATTTAAAAAAAAACCCATAAATAAACAACTTCAGTTTTCATTACAAGCTGTAAGAGTAGTTTAACTGCTGCAACCTGCACTAGAAGAGTAAGTAAGTGAAACTGGGCCAGACGTAGAACCAAAACCAAAATTACTCCTCAGTCACCACAGCTCCAAACAAAATTATAGAGAAGACACAGCTGTTCCCTTCCTCTCCCTTTCTACTCTCAGCAGACTTACAGATCGGCACCAGTTTAGTGATAGGGATGAGGATGAGATCAGCCCTTTAAAGAAATACTCTGAAAACCAGTGATGACATGGACATACAGTATAACATTCCTGAGAGGAAATGAGCACATGAAGTGACTTGTAATGTAAACCTAGTCATTTTCTGCTTCAAGCTGAAACCTCAACACTCAGAAAAAGCTTCAAACTGTATTTAAGCTACAGAGTAGCTGGATAATAAATAGAACAGTTGCTATCTCAACTGCTTTGCATTCATGAAAATACAAGCTCTCTTTTTCTGACCCATATCCTCTTCTGTTTCACTACTTCCTTTCTCTGCTCTCACAGTGTAGCCACAAAAGTATAATCTGAACTTTTCACCCTTCCCATTTTCCCATGCTCCTCCACCACTCACCTGCGTACAAACTTGGATGTGAACTTGCTGAATATCCCTGTGGCGCCATGTGTCCTCCGGGCCTGGCTGTTGCCGTGTGAAAGTGATGGGGAAGCAGGCCCGCCAGGATAGGCGGAGCCTTGCTGGTCCCGGGCACCTCGCTGCTGGCCAGCGTGGAACGTGCTGCGGATGCCCACCCCTCTAGAGAAGTTGGTACGGTCTGACACGGCAGCGCTGCTGATGTTGTGGGCAGATGGGGAGGCACCGGGCGCCCGTTGAGGTGGGGCACTATGGAGGAGAGTTGAAAGAGAGAGGGGAGGAAAATGGAGGGAGGGAGGAATGGTTAAGAAAAGGTGATAAAGAGGAAGGTGTAGAAGAGCAGACAGGTGGATGTAGAGAAGAAGGAAGAGGTGAGAAAAGATTGGAGAGATGATGGGTTGGAATGTGTGATAGAGGAAGAGGCAGAGAAGAGGAGGTGCAAATGAAGAAGAATTCAGGGTGACGAAGATGGGACAGGAGAAAAAGCAAGAAATAAAGAAAGCATGACAGAGGAAGGATGGGATGAAAAGGGAAGGAAAACAAGAGGTAGATTAACAAAGTGACATGTTGGAGGTGATGCAGGAGGAGAGAAACACAAAGAAAGGAAGACGACAGGCATAAAAAGAGGGGAGAGGAGTGAAGAGGAGGGGTGTGGGAGAAGAACACACAGTTAGACAAACACCAATAGAAGAAAATCACTTCCTCTTAAGTGCTACTTACCTGAGTTTAAGGTCATACAAGTATCTATGTCTGTTCAACGTCTGCTCGCCCTGATGTTTCTTATAATCCCTAAAGTCCACCAACTCAATATTTGGGGCCACATCAGGTCAGTGACACATGCACACACTCTCGCAGATACGCAGTTAATCCTCTTTGCCTCGGCCTAAGGGCAAAACATTACAAACCTCTCTCTCCCGCACACGCACGCACACTGACTATTCAATCAGCTAAAAGCTTGCATTTGCTTTGTGAGCATGTGTGAGTGTGCATCTTTCATGCCAGCGTGTGGCACTAGCACACCTGCACCAGATGACAAGATCACAACAAACGGAAATGGCAAAAACACAAACGCAAAGTGCACACAAAGAAAAAAGACAAGACAGGTGAATGAGCGGAATAAATGAAGAAACAAATAAACAAAGAAATTCACTGTAGAGATTTGCAAAGGGACCAAATATTTTCCCCAAGAGAAATTCTTCTTCTCTCTCTTTCCCACTCAAATCTCTCATTCTAGAGTAGTCACACTGACACTTACATTAGTAACTACCATCTGCCATCCCCTCTAATCTATAACAGCAACAGTATCTCTGCTGCTCTTAAGTCTAATTCTTACATAATTTATGTTTTTATTTCTGGTAAACCACATAAACTACCAAAAGCAGGGACCAAACATTTTATCATCTGCTACCCCTGCCTCAAGTGGGACCTTTTTACTGTCAGTCATATTGCATAATGAAGCTTTTTTTAAGTTCATATCTTATAAAATGCGGCTTATCAAACAGTTCAATAACTATATTAACATTTTTTGATGTATAAAAGAAATTTGCAAAAACACCTTACATTAAAAAGAAACTTTTATATGCAGCAGTGGCCAAATTGCTGAGATGGTAGTGATCCAAATTGCTGTTATTGGGCAGGTGCAGTTGTAAAAAAAAAAAAAAAAAGGTCCCGTGCAAACCTCTAGCACACTCAACACTCAGAAGAACAAAACACATCAAGAGGCTTTTCATTCGGTGTAGCTGTGTGATGAACAGATTAAGCATATCCTCTAATTCAGTGTGGTTGTGCTCAAGTTGTGTGCTGTGGATGACAGGTGACCTACACACAAACACACGCAAACACAGCTCATCTATAAAAACAGATGCAAGGGAAGAAAGGCTGGATCCGGCCGATCAGTGGGGACCAGTGTTGTACGTGTTGATATTTATGAAGATGATTGTTTTATTAGGAAGCACTACATAATGCTGAGATGAAGAGAGCTGTAATATTTTACAATTTGTTTCAACATATGAAAGGTTTTTCATTTTCACTTCCAGATTTAAGGAGAAGTGTAGTGATGAGTGTGAGCATTTAAAGACTGTGTTACAAAGTGGATTCAGGCTGATGTGTCTATATGGCACAGATATGTATTTTAATGTTAGGCTAGGCTAGTCTTTATTTGCCTACAGTAGACTGCACCTCTTTATACAAATGGAGCTGCCTGTGTGCAGCATGGCGTGCTTCATTGCAGCACATGAATTCTGGTTGTTAAAAGTAAGAACTGTATTTAAAAAGTTCATCAGAAGGGTATTCGGGGACAGCTGGATAAACAGGAATAAATGGGAATAAAGGACACAGACTATGTTCTGAGAAAAGGTGCCTTATCCTCACTCAGGGTACAGTCTATGTGTTGGAGGGGTACCTTCTCTCCAGCGTTCCCAACCAGGTTCTGAACAGCCCAAGCTCACTGCTGAACGACGCATGCAACAGAACAAGACTTCAACATAGAGCAGACAAAACCACATACAGCCAGAGGGCCACCTTGACATTTGCTCTGCTGGAATTTTAGCCTGACATTTGTGGGGGTTTTTTCCAAGAAGACAAGACAACTGTCACAAAGCGGGGTGGGGGTCTCTGTCTGAACAAGTGGCATATCAGTTCAGCCTCAGACAGTATTTAAGAAAAACATATTGAAAGACCTTTCACCCTGTATTGTGACACATGGCTGGCAGGGGAAGGGAGACGACTAAAACTCCAAATATCAAAGCAGCCCTTGAGACAGACATGGTCAAGCAGGGGAGCTAGCCAACAAAGCAACACACCCAGACCAAGCACACAGACAGCAAATACACAGGCACACACAAAGACACACACATAGACACACACACAGACACAAAACAAGACACACTCCATTTCATTCATTTAACCAGACCTGTCACAGTGTAGTCAAAGCTTAATAAACAGAGACGGGGTTTTCCCAGGCAACTTCATAACTGAGGTGAGTTTACAGAGCATGTAGAGGGAGCAATTAATAACCCTTGAGAACAAAAAACAGACACTGTGGGAACCTTAAAATGGACTCAACGTCCTTAACATGGGACAGAAATCCACTTCTCCCAGCCAGGGAAAACCCCACTGTCAGTACAACATGTAAGAAAACCAGATGGAGGACAATCATCCACACAGGGCATGCGACAGATTCTACATTCTGAGCATTTGCACTTTTATATTTATTTATCTTTTTTTTTTATAATAACCCTAACTAACAGAACATTATAAAGCACTGTCCCACATACAGTCTCCAGGCAGACTATCCAGGCCTGCAGGATTCAGGGAGGAAAGTTCATGAATCAACGTACTTATTAAAGAGATGATTCACCCTCTTTATTTGTTCTTTAAAAATGTAGTGTTGAAAACAGTAGGCGCTATATAAAACTGTGTTTATTAGATATTTGAAATATAGTGTGCGCAACCAGCAAAAAATATGACCTTTTTAGATGCTGAATATGGTTCTTTTCCTTCAATATCACTTTTTTGACAAGTCTTTTTACAGTTATGCAATAATATTTTGATTGTGGTTTATGATTATGACACAGAATGTTATGTTGTGATCTTTCTTTGTTGTGATGTCAAAAAACAACATTTTACAACATTAAAAAGCACCCAGTCTCAGTCTCATGAAGGCACCACCCATCAATGCATTTACCAATATCTGTGCTATTGCCTATAGATCTAAATAGATGGAAAACGTCTCTGCAAACAGTCATTTAAAACATTCATTTCAAGAATCAAATTTGCATAAAGTAATAACCTGCATATTTTTAAATTAACATGACAGTGCCAATGACCAACATCCAGACAGCAGCATACGACATTGGCTCTCACATATGCCATTTTGTAGGCTAGACAGCTGCTTAGCTGGTTAGCTGTAGTATTCTGAACAGCCTGAAAACTTACCTGCAGATGTCAGCGATAGTCGTTTTAGATTCTTAGATTAAGTGGTTATTTCCTTCAATACCACTATCATTACTGTCTCTTGTATGCTGCAGTTACCAGAGTCTGCTTATATTGTGCACTGACGGCCGAGTAGCTAAGAAGCTAAGGAGGCTTTTCTGCATATATCACCAAAGACTTTTTGTTCCTTCTTTTTCCTTTCAATAATAAAATAATATGAACAGTAAATTAATTAGGGCTGAGATTTGTGATGCGTTAAAGCTTTCAGTTGTTCCATAATGCCTACGATGACAGCATATCACACTTTTATCCTGTCATGTCAACAGAGGGTTTCCAGGAAACAGCAGCTCGTTCAACTTGTATTACTGATTTATTTCTTTGACCTAGAAGTTAGATACACAGCACATCTAATTATCAAGCCAGCCAATAACCAAGCTTATATAAAGGGTTAGCCTGCACACAGTTTATAAGCTACTGGGACCTCTGTGCATGGAAACCTAATCCTTGCTGGTCCATAAACATCTCTTCTATAAATTTGTTTGAGTTTTTTTTTTTTTTTATGTTTTCTTGCCAGGAAACAAAACTAGTAAAAAAAAAAAACCAAAAACACATCTGGTCTGTAAGAGGTACGGTATCGTGAAAAACCTGCTCTTCTTGTTCTCAAGCTCCCGCTGTTCAGCTATGGTCCGCTGGGTAAATGTGAGGTTTCAGAGGCACTGATTGGCCAAGGACAAGCTATGTCATCAGGTTTAACTTGTACAGTTTTCTACAGCTCCACCATCTACTTTACATAACATAGCTTCCTGATTCTTGTTCATTTTTTAAATTTCTCTGATAAGAGAAGATTCAAAAACTACACGTGTTTCTAAAACCGTACACATTCTAGCCATCATAACAAAAAAATTAAAACAAGTAACACATTTTCAAAGGTCAGACCTCTGAACTTCTCATTGGTTCAGCAATTTTCCATTTCAGAAACTTCTTAACCTCTTCAATGTGTTGACAAATACAAGTCTCTATTACTTTGTCACTTCATTTTATATTTTTTTGTGTACTGTAGCTAACGATTTTAGTTGACTTAAAGACAATAACAATATAGAGACAATATAAAGGCATTAAGATATTGGAGAGTATATAAAATACAGATATTGTATAAGTTAGGCAAACTTTGCTAATTTGAAGGTGTAGGTGTGTGTGTGGCTGCTGTTGGCAAGCAGAGCAGTTTATGTTGAATAAAACACCAACTCTTTAGGGAGGAAAATGTACCTCTTTGATCGCTTTCACAATTTTGGGGTAAAAATATTGGCACACAACACACAGCTGTGTGCCAGGATTTGTCACTGTGTGATTCAAAGGTAATCATCAAAGAGTTGTTTTGTTTTCCCCCCCAAAAAAGTTGGTGCTTTCCCTTTAATGTAGCAGCGGTGGAAGGTTTCAGAGCCAACAAATCACTTCTTCTTCACCTTTTTTCTCTTTGTCCATTGCGGGCAGGATGATGATCTGTGCTGAGTGAAGTGGTACATGCTGAGGGGGCTGAGGAATCTGTGTGGGTGTGTGGGTGTGTGTGTGTGTGTATATATATGTGTGTGTGTATATATATGTGTGTGTGTGTGTGTGTGTGAGAGAGAGAGTGAGAGACTTGCCTGGGCCGTGGTGCGTGCAGGTCAGAGGGGCATGGATGATTGGAGGAGGACAGGGACTTGTGGTGGCGGGGACGCGAGGAGGAGGAGGAGAGGACGGCAGCGGCCGAGGCAGTAGAGGCGCGGGAGCCCGGAGTGTTTAGGCTGGGAGGGAGGAGGGGGGAGGAGGAGGAGGAGGAGGAGTGCCCCGCCCGAAACACACACACACACACACACACACACACACACACGTATATGCAAACACACCAACAAACGTGAGCAACACAGGAAAAACACGCCAATCAAACATACACACCAGCACAACACAAACACACACAGGCAAACACAGCGGGCGGGGTTTGTGTGTGGGTGGGCGGAGAGGTGAGGTGGAGCATGGTTAGAAGCAGCACTTATCGAACACACTAAGGGTGGGGCGGGTAGGAGAGAGAGCAGAAGGAAGTAGACACAAAAAGACAGAGAAAACACGTAGAGCAAGAGGATGTGAACAAAGAAGAAAAGTTGGTCTTTTTTTGCTGTTGAAGTCGCTGCTTTGTGGTTTAACAAAAAGAAATCACAAGCCAAACTCAGTGTATGACTGTGTTGCTGTGCCTTCATCTTTTCATGTAAAATCTACCTGACACAAAAGGCAGAGCACAAAAGACCAACTTTAACAAACACTGTTCTGTTAGCTGAGACAGATTGAAAACACACTTAAGATAATTTATGAGGATAAAGACAGAACATAAAGACTGAGGACCCTCTAATATTTTACTGATGACTTAATCTGCCTCTGTTACAGGCCTCCATATTGGAAAAATACTACCAACAGTTTATAGTGTTTAGCTACTAATTAAACTTGACCTCAACCACCACTTTTCTTAAAATCTTTTTTTGTTGCCTTAAAAAAAAAAAAAAAAAAAACCTTTCTGCTTTTTAAATGGCCCCATTTTTGTATGTATTTTTGCCTGGATTTAATCTTTTGTGAAGCACACTACCTCACTGTTTTGGAATAATCGTGCTACATAATTCGTAGGTATTATTATTTTCACTTTTTTATTATGACAGTGCCTGAAAAACAATTTCATGGTTCTTGATCATTTGTAATGCTGCCATTTCATCTGTCTGACCTCTTGAGAAGGAGGCTAGAAACATGCCTAATCAAAAACAGTTGGGTTTCTGGATTAAAAAAAGAAGGATTTGTGGCTTGTAGAAGAAGATACTAGAGCTAAAATAATCACTTGATTGATACACAAAAAAATTATCTGCCACAGATCTGATAATTGTCATTTTTTTTAAGAACAAATACCAAAAATTCACAGATTCCATCTCCACAAATGAGACTGTTTCTTGGTTTTCTTCGTCTTCTATGATGGTAAACTGAGTGTTTATGGGTCCTGGATTGTTGGTTTGACAAAATGAGTGATGTGAAGAGGTTACTTTGGGTATTGGGACATTTTATAAACTAAATGTGTAATTCATTAATCAAGAAAATAATCTGCAGATTAATGAATAGTTAAAATAAATGTTAGGTGCAGCCCTTAATAACTGTTAGTTGTAATTTAATTCCACATTAAGATCAATTAACTTGCTCTCTTTTTCAGAAGAATGTGCAGGTAAGGTGCCAAGTTTCTATGTAGACAAGTAGACGTAGGGCAGGACATAAAGCTGTTTCACTGTCTTGTTATGAGATGATCACTCTGACCCACAAGCTTGTAGTTTTATAGGTTTGACCTGTCTTGCGACTTCTGTCTGTCAAGTGCTTGACTTCTCCTTTTCAAGTCTTCCTGTCCTTTTAAACTGCACACAATCTAAACTGTATCAGGAACAAGGATTACTTGTTTTACTTGAGCAAAATGGCACTGGCTATTTCCTGAACCCTCTCTTAATCAGGTTGCTACGGGCTACAAAGCTCTGCACATTACTGACAGCTCTAACTTGACTTTTTCCACACATAGAAACAAACAGTAAGAGATAGGGCAGAGTGGTACCACAGAGAGACGGACAGATAGCTGAAGAGAGCAGAGGAATGAGCAATGAGAGAGAGAGGGACATTTACAGAGGTCAACCAAACAGCTGCTAATTACAAAGAAAACAAACACATAGCAGAGAGAAAAACACACATACTCTCTGACAGGGATTAGCCCGGCTAGTGATGGAAAAATAACCACATTCATTGGATAGCCCAATGTGTGGCAACCGTTTGAGCATGTGTGACATGTATGTTTAAGCTTGTGTGTGTCAATGAGTTTGTATGTGTAGAGCCTCAGTGCGTGTGTGTGTGTGTAGATATTTCTGTGTATGTGTAAGCCTATTATGAAGCAAGTACAGGGACCATATAGTGTTACTAAGAGTTAATATTCCATCACAAGTCTTCCTAATCTCCTTAGAGAGAGAGAGAGAGAGAGAGAGAGAGAGAGGAAAAAGAAGAAAGATTAATATAAAGACAAGAAGCTGGAAAGAAAAAAGAAAAGAAAGGAGATGCCAAGAAAATGTGAGTGACTTAAGATTCAGAGGGACAAGAGCTCAGACACAGATAAGAGGAGACCAAACGAAGAAAATTAGGGGAAAAAGGACAGAAACAATTGGGGAGGGGAGAGGGTCTAGCAAGTACAAAAGCCCAAACTTCAAAGCATTATGATGATCAAATAAAGTAACTTTAAAATCAAAGCAGATGACAACCACTAGGTTAGCAGAGCCTATCATGGTTAACAGGCCCACAGTACTAAAAAAGCAATGCTGTCTCAAATGACCCCTTCGTCACCAGTGTTTAGGAATAAACAACAGAATCTTCTCAAAACACATCAGATTTTACGGACTAGACATGGATTCAATTAAATTATTTTTATCATGTTTTAGGCAGAATATCATTGTGGGGACAAGGGGGTCATTTGAGACTGATACATGAACAAGTAATAAAGCAGTAATGACAATGACCACTCCATCATAGTAGGGATTATGGTTTGGCTTAATGTTGAATGCTTTTGAAAAAGCACACAAAGCATATGGCTGGTTAAAGCATGAGTGGTGTTCGGGTAGTTGAGTGTGTGGACGCGCATGAGGTGTTTGCACTCCCGGTCGACTAATACAGCGGCACAGACGTCTTAAATCGACAACATTGGTTGTGTTTTTACGGCTTTAGATGGAAGACAGGAAGTCCACAATCAAGCAACTCCAATGTGGCCAAAAGACCTTTTTGTCCAGAGTGAAGTTGTTTAATGTGGTTCAGGAAGAAAGGAGAGTTGGAAGGATGAATCACGTTTATGAAGGACAAATGAGAAAGGGTAAAAGGAAGGGAATATCACACTCTGAAATTTCAATTCAAGGAAATAGAGGAAAAGAATGGAGTTTGACTTATGGCTAAACCCAATGGTACACCTTATATCATCAAAAAAAAACAGAAATCCTGCTTTTTTATTTACTAATATAGGATTATTAACAGTTCAGGATTTTAGCTGTAGTTTAACACCTGCAAACCCTTAACCTCCTATCAATGGTTTGATTTTGGACAAAAACTTCCCGTTTAATAGACTGCAATATTGCTGGCGGTCAACATTCATTTTTATCATAAGGGGAAGAAGAAATCTTTATTAACAGAAGAGAAAAGAAAGAAACGTTAGAGTATAAAGAGAGAGAATGCGGGCGTGCGTGTCCACGCTGTGCTCTGACTGGCAGGCTTCCATCAGACCATCTCGGGTAATCTGTAATCTACTGGAGGTTTGGCCTAAATACCCAAGAGAGCCTGATTTCCTTGTCCAGGAGGGCTCACCCCACCCTGGGGGAAGGCTGTGGGCCTCCCTGAGCCAGCTGGCAGAGCTCTGGAGAGTACCAGCCAAGGTCTGGGATTCAGTCCCTGAGACAGCTGTGGGACTGCTTCATTCACAAACCATAGTGAGTGTGTCTGTATTAAGTGTGTTTTAGTGAGGACGCAGTGCTGCCTTACAGCAACTAGTTGGGTTGTCGATGACGAGAGAAAAAGGGTGTGTGTAGGAACAACTGCATGTGGGTGTGCTTGTCCTCCTCTTTTAAAAACATCCCTCTTTTGTAACTGCGCATTTGTGCATGTACCTGTCCTTGCCGTTCTGGATGCCCTGGCTCAGCGTGGCTCTCTCGGTCAGAGGAGAGTTCCGACTGCGACCAGTACCGGTGGACAGGATGCTATTCTGAAGGGAGAGAGGAAGAAAATGAGAAAAATGTTAGCAATATAGAAATGATTAAGATTGAGGGCACAGTTATAGATGGTTAGAGATCAGTGCAGCAGAGGGAGGATGGACAAGTGACATTAAGGTACACAGGTGACCAATTATTCCTAGAAACAGCCTTGAGGAAGCTTTCCAATCAGCGAGAACGACTGACTAATTACCTGAAATCTTCACCAAATTATGCCTCAAGAGTATTCGCTGTAACAAATTCATTTTTCATTTAAAGTCTATGCACACCTGCACGTGTGTTTCAATTACCCTGACAGATAAGCTGCGATCAAGTTGAGGTTGGGCGGAGCAGAAGTCCACATACTAAGAAAAAAATTGTAAAAGTTGCCCTGCCCTAACAGGTGCAACCAAAGTAAGAGAGAATGAGAGAAATGTCAATAGAGCATAACATTCCTACACAGCCCTGGGGAAAGGTGTAATAGGAAAACTTCAGTGAAAACACCTGTGTAGGTCAACACAGGTGTGATGGGATTTTTAATTGCACATATTACAGTCTAAGCAAACTCTATGGGACAATTTCAATAATGAAGGAGATTAAACGTTTTATATTGTAACACATTTTCAAAATTTGAAAGATCTGACAAAATTAAGATCGGTACAACAAGTCTATTCCACATTACTATGCTGGCTGAAACTGCTGACACTTGTTGAATTAGTTATAATACAACCTTATTATTCTCAAATGGTGCCAACTGAGTGGATGACAGAATAGAGTCATTCATTATTCAATTAGTAAAAACACCTGTGGTTTCCCTACTATGAAAAGTGAGAATGCTGTGAGACAGGCCTACACTTTGCGTCAAGACCAGGATAAAAACATGTTAACTATTATTTCGGGTGTGTATATCTAATGCACAAACTAGACAATTCTAATAAGCTCAGAAATTGAATCACTTAACTATAATGCAGTTGTAACAATAGAAAAAGACGACATGGAAGATGACCAAAAACAAACGCAGGCATAACCCTCAGGATTTACACTTCCACTTTCTTATTACATGGAAGAAGACCTTCATAGTTATATAGCCATGTATTTTAACATGTTTAATTAGTAACTAGCATTTGATTTAACCTTTGGTCCACAGCTTAAGATAAAATATGACTGGTGCTAACTTGCACGGAAAGTCATTGTTACTCTTCAAAGTACAAGTCAGCTTCTGGATTCCTCTAAAATTTTCCAGCAGATGTGTTTTTCTACCCCTCACACGGAGAAAGCTGTTTATTCACTATAACCACAGTGTGTATTTAGTTTGTCTTTTTACAGATCTGTGTTTGTATTTGTTGATATTAATAAAATGTTGTGTAAGCGGCGTGGGAGTTTGGTCTTACGGTGGAGGGCGTGGCGCTCTTCTTACGGTCAGAGGAGACAAGAGGGCTGGCCGGCACCTTAGTAGTGGAGCTGCCTGACGAACCCTTCCTCCCAGAATCCTCCCCTGCAGTCCGGTTGTCTGCTTGACCCCCCCTCTTAGAGTACGAGGAGCCTAGAGAAAAAAAAACAAAACAGAGTGCATCAGAAAGGCTGTCACTTGTTGTGCTCAAGCCTTTGACATTTTCCCATTTCCTCCAATCTGGATCATCTTCTGCTCTTCCACTCACTTGTCACTTTCCTGTCATCACTCTATTAGACATCAGTCTCACCCTCTTTTGTGGTTTTCTTTGATTCAATCTTCTCTGCCAGGCCTCCACTTAAATCCATCTCATCTTCCCTATTCTTTCTACATCATCACCACACCTCTCTTACCTCAACCTTTATTCGACATATATCCAGCCCACTCCGGTCCATCCGTTTTACTCTTCCTTTCTGTCCACTCTCCCTCCTCCCAACATGGCTACTAGTGTCTTCAAAATAAATGTGTGAGGCTTATTTTCAAAAACTGAATCTGATCCCAATCTCGATCCATTCTTCCTTCTCCCAACACGCACCAGCTTCTCCCCTTCCCTTCCAACACACACCAATCTCACCCTGGTCGGTAGTTCTGCGGTTCTGAGGCTTCTGGTTGGACGAGACACTGCGCTGTACCTTAGAGAGGCAAGATGGAGACACATGTCAATATGGCATTATTTATGTCAGAGGGTGTTTACATACATTGGGATGTAAGTATGCAAACCGAGAGCTATGTTTGCAGCCACTCCTCTCTAGTCCATAGGGCCGGTCACACATTAAACCAAAAACACTGCTGGATTCAAGCGTCTAGGAAGGTATTGGTTTCTGTGGATCACGTGTATGTTGGTCTACAATCAAAAATCGAATAAAAAAATAATAAAAAAAATATGTGGTCACATTAGTGAACTTGTCACTGGCTGGAGTTGGGAGACCTCATTATCTGTTAGCAGAAGATATTATGTGTTCTCATTGTACCTTATGAGGCGGGGAGGGGGCGTTTATGTTGCTTACATCACTTCCTGGTCGAGGCTTGATGCAACCTTCATCCAGCTGAAGAAGAAAAAAACAACACAGCTCTGATTACATGTGCATCGGGAGCAGATACAGAGAGACTTTGGCGTGTGTACAACAAACACAAAGGACTAAAAATAGTGCTTTTATACATCGTACTGTTGTGAGAATAAGCAAGTATTTTGAGTATAAATATATTTGGTGAAATTCAGAGTTGACAGCAACTTGTATTTTCTGAGACCTTGAGTGAAAAATATACAGACAGCTGACAAATTAAAGGAAAATCTTGAATAAATGAGTGGAGAAACAATGAATGCAAATCCTTTTACACAGGTGCACTGTATGGTACAATTACGCAGTTAACATCCAGTCATGCTCTATGGCAAGTATAAAAATGCTGAACAGGCCCAGCTGATTCTGACTTTGTATCAAGATCACAAGGGGAAAATATCTATAGACTGCTCAACTGACTGGTTTCAATGGGAACAATGACTTAAGTGACATCTGCATTTACACATATGGGAAAGATGTCAGTAAAAAGGGTCAATAGCATTTGGTGACCGTGATGCTTGTGCTTTAGTGCATTAGATGCAGTCTCCAAATGAGTCTGATTCTTCTCCTGGTGACTGAGACACCACGAGAGGAGTCAGACTGTCAGTAAGAACGGTTTGTTGACAGTTACATAGGGACGTTATAGTAGGGTTGCAGTGCATAAACCCCTCATTACAAAGATGAATGTACACTTTAAATTCAGTGGTGTGAAAACCACAGACATTGGTCTCAAGAGAAGTGATATGGTCAGACGAGTCATCGTTCACCATATTCTCCACAAGTGGGGGAGTGCACGAGTAGTGTACACCAGGAGAACGGTACAGGCCTGAATGCTCGAGCCGCAACAGTGGCAGGTTCTACTGGCTCTGTTCTGCTGTAGGGGAAATTTTTCTGGCATGGTTTGACTCCACTTGTCCCGTTAGAGGGAAGAGTCACTGCAAATCAATACAAATTTGTTCTGAGTGATCACCTTTCTGTTACGATGAAACATTTCTGTCTTGATGGGAGTGGCCACATTCAGGATGACAACGCCCCCATTCATAGGACACGACGGGTCACTGAATGCTTTGATGTGTATTAAAATAATGTGAATCATATGCTACAGCTTTCTCAGTCACCAGATCTCACCAAATTGTGGGAGATTTTGGATCGACGTGTTAGACAGCACTCTCCACCACCATCATCCACCCCTCCATTAGAATTCACAGACTTGTAGAATCAATGCCAAGAAGTATTAAAGCTGTTCTGGAGGCTTGTGGTGGCCCAACACCTTACTAAGACACATTTTTCCTTTAATTTGTCACCCTTCTGCATAGAATAATATATAATGATGAACTCACAAGAGCTGTTTAGTTTGACAGTTTATTGTATTTCATCACTATGATTCCATAAAAGAGCCTCAACCAACAGCTAATAACTGCTATGGTATTATAGTGGTGCTTTCAATATACTTTGGTATTATTTACTAAAACGTAGGCTAAATAGATGCCAGGTCTGTCCATTTATCACCGTCAGTTAAAAGGACAGCATGTGGGTGTTATGTGTGAATGTGAGAGAGAGAGAGAAACGGTGTACCTCAGAGTTCCTATAGTCCAGTAGCAGGTATGTAGCCATTACATCATTGTACTTCTGGTTCACCAGCGAGTCCTGGATCTCCTCCTGAGAGAATCCCATCTGCAGCATGATGTCTGCACACACACAGCAAAACAGTTAATAATTAGACTGGTGAGCTAACTGTGATGCCATAATGCTCAAAAACATAAATTATCTTCATGTGAGTGGAAAAAAGAAACATCTGTACTCAAGTGTGCCTGAATGTGAGTAAAGAAAGAAATACATTTTTCTTTGTTTTTCAGTGTGTTCCTGTGCCGACCTGTCCTCCTGGGGTCCTTATAGTCTGGCTGGGGTTCAATGTAGGGTTTGAGTTCTTCCTCCTCGTAGCCCACATTCATCCACCGGTCCCTCATTATCTGCTGCTGGGAGCAAGCCAAACAGACAGATACAGGGAGACATGAGATGTCAAAGAGGATAAAGGAGCAGAAAGCAGAGGAGGGGGTAGAGGTTAAGGAAATAGGGGAAGAAAAACAAGAGGAGAGTCCACTAATACTCTATTATTTATTTTCCTTCAGCAGGGTTTCTCTCATGGATGAACCCTCATGTATTTATTGTTAATATGCAAATAAAGCTTATAAATCTTCCTTACCAACTGAACCATTATATTTTTAGACATGGCTACACTGATTAATCTGTCAAAATTTAAGGATAAACTCCTTAACATAAGCTATTTTGTTTTAAAATGTGTACTCATAAACATAAACATGGATGATGATTAAACTGATTGTTTATTCAGATGGAAATTCAATCAACCTCGGTCAGCAAAATGCACACTCCCGATCTACACAGACAAACTCTAAAGCAGGTGCAAATGAAACAGTCACAGGATTGAATTCTGACACTAAAGCTTGAGTTTTCTTTACAGTATTTTCACAGCGCTGTTTTAACATCTGGCAGGTCAAACAAAGACAGGATCAAGCAAAAATCACTGCATGTTATTAAATGTTAAATATAACATGGCAAGGCAGTGCAAGCAGAAAACATTATTTATTGTTGTCCTGCTGTCTAACTAATATCTTCCATTTAAAACAGTCACCATTCATCCACCTTTAACGCAACCAAATTTAGTAACTCATGAATACCAAACTGACAAGTATTTACTATACCTTTAAAAAGCACCTTACACCTGAGCAACAAACTCACATATAGCTGGTGAAACAAGTCCAGGTGTGACACACTTTTACAGTGGTGAACAGACTAATTATTTACAAAATCAGGTCTTACTATTATAAGATATAGGGCTTTTTTCAGTCTACATGTCATAAATATAAAGAGTTTAACTCTTGTTCAATATGAGAATAAAATCAAAAACCCCCCCCAAAAAACACAATTTGAGAAGCATTTCTAAAACTACCCAACACCACTATTACACTATATGCAACATCCTTCAGTGCTTGATCTCTAACTAGTCTTATTAATGAGTTATTTGGGTTTCCTGTCAGTATCTTGAGCTTTGTGTATGTGTGTCAATGCATGTGTGTACCTCGAGGCTGCCTCTTTTAGAGGGGTTCAGGATGAGGAACTTCTTGAGCAGGTTCTCACAGTCGGTAGACATGTAGAAGGGGATCCTGTATTTACCACGCAGCACACGCTCTCTCAGTTCCTGGAGATGGGGAAAAAGCCACAGGGTAGTCAAAAGCAGTCTCCAAATATCTAGCTCTGAACACACACACATTCCTGGTCTCACAGCTTTAGGTGTTGTAAAAGGTAGGCCTTGACTTTTCAGAATTTGATTAGTCATCTTGATCTTTTCTCAGTTGTGTGTTTGAAGAAATACTCGACATTTTTGGGTGCGTTTCAAAAAGAAATCTGTCTCATCTGTATGCAGCTCGTAAAGTCTCTCTTCATCTAGTTCAATAAGATAAGGCTTGAATTAGCTGCGGTTACACCCCCAAATGATTAATAGTTTTGTTAAACAAGTCCCACATTCATCTAACCAAAAGCTGGTTAGTATTTCAAGAAGCTACAATTGAAACACACTGGTAGTATAGTATGTGGGTGATATTAGGAAACAATTATATCCACACACTTTCTGGCTTCCATACAATCCATAAAATGTGTGATTAATTCATGATAATGCAGTTGTTAACAAAAGCACTGTGAGTCACCAGGCACAAATAATCAACATCACAGTACAGTGTTTGTAATCTACTTCAGTGGCCTTTATTGATCCCCCTGAAGGTTTCTCGTTAATTATTATTTATTCAGAAACATAAGGATAAGTGCAGTGACAACTTTTAACTGTTGTAAAACTACACAATGAGACATTGATTGTGCGTAGAAATCTATCAAATAGCAAAACCGAGTCAAACCAGATCTGTGAGCATTTTTAACTCAGTATACAACAAAATGTATTTGTATTTTTATTTGTGTGCTTTATATTTGTAGTAGTGTATTGTGACTTGTAATGTTTTTTGTTTTATGTTACCTGCCTAGGTTCTATGGATGTAAATGAGCATTTTTGCTACAATCCGGCATGTTTACATCATGTATTTTGTACAGATTTTTGTTAATATGCCTTGTCTCTATCAAATAAACAAACAAACAAATAAATAAATAAATCAAAATGTTAGATTAAGCTGAAACACTGATGTAAAACAATTTTGTCTGTGCACCAGTATCACACATATAAAAAAGGACTACATTTTATTACAGCTACAACCCCAGCACAGCACAAGGGAAGTTAGAAGACAGTGAAGCTCTCTGTTAAATAAATAGTAAAACCAGTAATGTAGGTGTTAAACAAAACTCCACACAGCAGGAGGTAGTGCAAAGGCATATTTGATAAGCCTAGATGGTGTTTCACTGGCATGTTGATATCAATATTACCACATTCAATGTCATATCGCCCACCCAAAATGTGTCTGCACTTCCAGAGTGAGTCATGTGGGTCCGGACTGAATGCATAGTGCGACAGGTGGTGTGAATAAGTATAGTTCACAGAATTAAAGGCTTAACTGAAAAAAGTTCCAGGTTTCAGTGTATCACACCACAAAAACCAATTTAAAAACAAAGTGCTTGGGTTGGCATTTGATCACTTTACACATTCACTCTTTGTTGAGTTCAGTTTCTGCTTTCGGTAGGGCAAAGGGAACAGAAACCAGCATGACAAATACTACAACCACCCACAGAATACAGACATCTTCTTATGTAATGCACTTGAACACACACAAAAACACTCTCTCCTCTTCCTGACCTTGAGGTTCTGTCCATCGAAAGGCAGCGAGCCGCTGACCAGTGTGTAGAGGATGACCCCCAGGCTCCAGACGTCCACCTCAGGCCCGTCATACTTCTTGCCCTGGAAGAGCTCTGGGGCTGCGTAGGGCGGGGAGCCACAGAACGTGTCCAGCTTGTTCCCCAGAGTAAACTCATTACTGAAGCCAAAGTCTGCTATCTTGATGTTCATATCTGCATCCAGCAGCAGGTTCTCCGCCTGCAGACAGACAGTGTGGGAGAGAGAGGAAAGAGACAGAAATAAAGACATAATTATGATGTAGAGAGCAGGAGGATGTGGAGTAAAACTGGGAGAAAGAGATACAGGATTATTAATGTGCTGGGATTTATCCTTTCTTGAGTATTGCATGTGCCAAGAAATGAAACACAAATACTTGACTAGATTTGCTTTGTGTGATCCGGTACTGTGATATCTTACTTTCCCATATGGAAACTCTTTTTACACTTGGTCAGATTTACACAAACTTTATAGCAGAAGAACCGAGTTTAACAAATAGGCCACCCTGACATCCAGTGTCAGTGTAACAACGATTTTCTCTGACATGCAAATCAGTTTGAAGACAAGACATTCCACCTCGTTACAGACAGACTGTCTGAAATACACCTTTCTCTGGGAAAAAACTGGGGTGGGTGAGGGGGTTTTCAGAGTAATGGCCTGGGGCCTACAAGAAGCACACAATGGGCAAAGTGAGCTACCACAGTTTATTCTTCTGTGTGTGTGTGTGTGTGTGTGTGTGTGTGTGTGTGTGTGTGTGTGTGTGTGTGTGTGTGTGTGGGTGTGTCTCCTAAAGTGAGCCAGTGAGCAAGGAGGCGGGGGTTGCCTAGCAACAGGTGCGCTCTCCTTTTCACTTGCTCTGAATACTCTGCAGCTTCTGTCTGTTTGAGTGTGTGTGAGTGTGTGTACATTAAATACAACACTGACATAATGTTTAAGCTCTGACCTAAGAAATACATGAACACTGCCCTCTTAGTTTTTGTCTGCGGATTTAATCATCTACAACTAATTAACATTAACATTTTAAGTTGGCCAAACAACAAAATTTTACTCTTTGATGTTCAAGAAAAAGGAGCAACCACTGTAGTAGATACAGCAGTATAAACCTTATGCAGAGTGTGATCGCAGCCACACTGCTGTTTTCATCTTGGGACACACGGAGTGTAAATTTAGATTTGCTGTGAAACGCAGGCTCATCAAAATTTGCTCTTGCAGCGTAGGACCCACTTGAGTTAAGCCTGTGCCAGATTTTACATCGCAACCCCCAGATCAAGAGTGATTAGGGTAATGTGCAGGATGCTACGCATTACAATAATGAAAACTGTCTGTCCTCCAGAGACCCCTTATTTCCCATGCAGCCCTTTTTGTAAATGACAACCATCATTATCTGCTTAAAGTGTAGAAAATGTTTCATGACCTTGGTCAAAGCAAAAAATGTTTATTAAAAAGCCGAAAATACCCCTGAGTGGGAAATCAACTTTGAGATGAGGCTCCTGTATGGTTACTGTAACAGTAATCATGATAATGTATTTGCTACAGGTCTGCCTGCTGGCACAATAAGAGGATTTACAACTCTGCATAATACTATGAACCAAAATGACCTGGAAGAATTAAATCTGTGAGTGTGTGTTGTATTTCATTTTTGGCAAAAAATAATGTGAATCGAAGACTGTAAGGAAATATAGATAGAGTGTGTGTGCGCTTAAGCCCTAGTACTCGAAGAGAGACATTATATCATCTTTGTGATTAACCTCTAGCTCGGCTGTTCATGAAGAGAGAGAGAGCGAGAGAGACTCAGTGTAGTTCATCAGTGGGTGTGTTCTCACCTTGAGGTCTCTGTGTACTATACACTTCTGATGGCAATACTGCACCGCTGACACAATCTGGAGAGTGAGAAAGTGAGTGAGGGAGAGAAAAAGAGAGACAGGGGGAGGGGACAGAAAGAGACAGGGAAAGAGGATGACAAGATGAAAGAGGTTGAATTGGTTAGACAATTAAATAAAAAGACACAGAGCTCTTCATTAGGATTTCATCAGGAAACAATCATGCTGAAGTACTAGGAATGCTAAATTAAACAACAAATGTGTTTATTTATATAATTGACATTAATTAGTTAGTGGTAACTAATGTAGGTTAATTTTTTTAATCATAAATTAAACAATGTAAAAATGATTCCTTCTGCTCCCGTCCCACCTGCCATTATTCAACAAATTCAGACAATTGTACGCTGGTTATGCACTTTTAATCTCGGCCCAACTTAAATGTACACAAAAAATATACATGCATTAGCATAAATTATCTATACAGAATTACACACACAAATAGACATTTTTTCCCCAGCACACACACCTGTCTGAATTTGGCACGGGCTTCTTTCTCCTTCATCCTGCCATGGGCGACCAAGTAATCAAAGACCTCTCCTGGGAGACGAGAGAAAGAAGAGGAGAGCAGATCTAGAGTTAGAACCTGATACTTGTCTCCTTAAAGCCAGAGTATTGGGTCAAAGGGACATTGACCTAATACTCCTTGAGTATTGTTCTTTAAAAACAAAGTATGGTGACATCAACCTAAAGTGGTCATTATTTACTACTTTCTACAGACTTAAATGAAACAGAAAAACTGACAATCTATTATTTTCCTCATTTTCATGTTTTCTGGGTAAATGATTACTGCACTGTTTAACTAGTAACAGTGTAACAGACTACCGTCATACATAATTTCCCTTTCATGTGTCTATACCAGGGGTGCTGAGTACAAGAATACAAGAGAAGGTTCATACAAGAGTGGCCATCAAGCTTCTTTTTTTAAATTTATAATGTCAACAATGTTCTGTGCAAAGAAAATAGAGATGGTAAATAAGAGAAAAAAACAGGAGATTTCTGATAACATCTCTCTGGAAAACTGACTGTAGAGGCTGTACATTAGGGGGAAAAAGCATTTTTTGTTTGTTGGGAACCATTTGATTCTAAGAGAGTACCGAGCCTCAGGGGGGAATGATTTCACAGTGACACGCACTTACCTCCACTAGCGTACTCCATTACCAGGTACAAAGTCTTCTCTGTCTCTATCACCTCAAAGAGCTTGACTGGAGGTGGAGAGAGAAAGGCAAAAGCAGAGAATTGGAGAGGGAGGGGAAAGTAAAGAGATGGGGCAAAAGACAGATAAATTGAGAGAGGAAAGGGAGGAGCAGTGGAAATACGAGAGTTGAGCAAGAAAAGGGCAGAAAGAGTGAAAGCAAAAATAAAGAGATAAAAGCAGAAGGATTGTTATCATTTGGCTTGAATACATAACCTTGAAAGACCATTTACGCCCTGTTCTCAGTGAGTGACGACAGAGTGGAAACTCACGTTTCATTGTGACTCACCTATGTTGGGGTGATTCAACATCTTCATGATCCTCACCTCCCGGAAGAGCTGTGAGATACAAGCCACACAGAGTGCTGTGTCAAATACACCATCAGATGTGGGGTGGTGTTGTGAGTTACATTTATACTCTACATGTATACTCGCAATATTTGGTGGACAGGACAGAAAATTTATTTTGAAATAGAAAAAAAACTTCACTTCAGTATTGCAATATCCTATTTGTGTCATTGCAAGGGAAAAATGACACTGAAAACACAAACATTCACTTCCTGTTTATGAACATGTGAGTCGAATAACTTGAAGGAAAGCAAAAACAAACGTTGTTAGTGATGACATAACGCTAGAGATTCAGGCAATACAGGTTTAAATCCCAGGTCTGTCACAATTTAGGATCTCAGAGTTAAACAAACATAGAAAGTTTGCTTTGCCTTCAGCTGCTTGTAAACTCTGAAAAGACAACTCAAAGTACGGCGTACAAACCAAAGTCTACCTCAATGCCATCCGGTCTATTCCTGTGTTAAAGGCATGAGGAGGCGTCATTCACTCATTATGAATTTATTTCCTCTGAGTCAGCAGATAAGGTCAAACTGTGCTTACTGGATGATTTCGGGGCTACAGACAGAGAGAAACCTGTGAGCCTGGAGCTATTAATGTGACACACAATTCAAAAGGCAACACTGCAATATTCACTCTGTTACAAGTATTTGCTCCATTCCAAAACATCTGGTGTCTTTGAAGGTAATGCAATCCACTTTTTCATACATAACTTCAACAACGTACATTTGGCAACTATAGCATTGCCAATGGTGCAGCTATGGCATCGTTATGTACAGGCTCCTTAATGCACAACTACAAGTCTGTCTTAAAAGATAAGACTGGTAATATTCTTACTTACATTTATCTATTGACCTGTATTGATTGCCTGTTTAGCTAAACTTGATATATCTAATACCTCTGTACCAAAGAGCTCCTTTGTTGTCCAAAAGCTATTAATAACTCATTGATCAACCACACTGCTGACATGCTCCCTCATTACCATCAACACACACACACATTTTGAGCCAAAACCACATACGCCATCCTGCTGCTGTAAATACTCACTAGAGCGTGAAATGTGTGTTAATCCGCGGGAGAAAATAGTCCCCAACAAGTTCCAATTCGGGTTTTAGTGCACATGGATTTGCATTTGCATGCTTCCTGACATTTGATGTAAGGGTGGGTGAGTGTTTCGAATTTACCACTGGATTTATGTGTTGGCCCTGTCAGTGTCTTAACATTTTCCTCGTCATGTGCTTCTCATGTCTGACTTTGCACACAAGTGTGTATTCTATGTCTTGTGTTTGGTGTGTGTGTGTGTGTTCAGTTGACAAGGACACATGGTTAGAGAGTGTGCGTGTAAGTGGACAGACCCCACCCTGCCACGATCAAAGGAAGTAATTGCAGCTTGTTTCCTGTAATTAAAACTCTCTCTAAAAACTAGACCACTTCAGAAAGAGAGACAGAGGCAGAGAGAAACTGACAGAGAGTGCAAAAGAGAGGAAGAGAGAGAGAGAGAGAGAGAGAGAGAGAGAGAGAGAGAGCTAAAGAGAAAGACATGTGGGGCAGGAAGAGTGACTTCAAAATGACTTCTGAAAAAAAGGGATAAGAAGGACTGAGGTTTGAATTTCTTGCCCGTGTCTGAGTGTGTGTGACTGAGAGAGAGAGAGAGAGAGAGAGACAGAGAGAAAGAAAGAAAGAAGAGACCCACCTTCTGCAAACTGGAGGAGTTGAGCTGTGTCTTATCAATGATCTTTACAGCCACCTAAAAGCAAAACAAGAACGTGTTCATTTATTAATACACTTTTATTCATTAATTACACTTGCTGCAGTGACACATCTTGCTTACACAAACCTGCACAGCTACAGGCCTGTGAGCACAGCAAAAACACACAGTGCTATCTTTTTGGAAGCATCACACACACACACAAACAGACAGAACGATACAATCTTGCAGCATTAAGTGATAAAAACACACAATCACAGCGGGCGACAGTTGCATAATAGGGCAGAATACAAAGACACACACAGAGCTGAACATGGTTATAATGAGGTCTATAGTTCATAATCCAACAGTGGACACCAACATGGGGAACAGAGAGAGATAAAAACACAGAAAGGAAAAGAGAGAGAGAGATAAAAGAGAAGCTGAGGAAAGAGAAGAGAAGAAGAGAAAACAAGACATAGAGAGAGAAGGCAAAGAAACAAAGAATTATCTCTCAACAAGGACACAGGAAAAGGGAGGTCTACTACACTCTCCCCTTTCTGTCTTTCACTGTCAATTAACTCCTTTCTTCCACTCCTCTTTTTGGTAGTCTGTGACTCTTTCATGCCCCCTGATTCTCCCTTGTTTTCTTTGTGTGAGAGAGAGAGAGAGAGAGAGAGAGAGAGAGAGAGAGAGAGAGAGAGTGTGTGAGCCAGTCACATGGAGTGTTATCAGGGTGTCAGGCACAGGGCTGTCACACATTGACAGAGCCCGCCTACCCCTGGCTCTCACACACAGGCTAAGAGTTGGCTTGACTGGGCCTCAGACAGAGCCCAGCATGGGCTCACTGCAGACACAGCTTCTCTCTTAAAGGGACAGACCACCACGTTACATCACATCTGGAATTCACAGTAAGCCGGAGACATTTAGGCTTCTCTATTCAAGCTGACAATGGTGATCTAATCTCCTGCAGCAGATGTACCGTCTCCAAAGCCATGCGAGCCTCAGATCAGACCAGACCTACTGTGTATCACAGCGTGAACCCTCCCCTATCCACAGAAACCAGGAAGGAAGATTAACATTTAGACATTAGCTAAACGTTTATATTGTTTTTCTACCTTTTACCACCTTGGCTGGTTAAAAACATCTGAGGCTTTTCTTTCTAAGTAGGTTTTGGTGATTACAGTCACTTCCTGAAAACTGCAGTCCTCTTGTCACTTAAACAAGACTTGCCAACAATTTCTCATGGCAGTTTGTCACTTTGTTTTAAGCAGAACAGTTAAGGCAGTTGGGTGTAAGATTTACTTCATTTTCCACACAGGGTGAAAGACTTAATGTTTCTTTATTTCTTCATCCATAAAAACGCCTTTCTTAACCTTGCTGTTTGTTATTGAAACACTGACAAGCCAACTTTTAGATAAGTAAAGAGTCAATAGTAAAGCATTTTTCCAGAATGTGACTACAGTGGCTAAAAATAAAAGGCTAAAGTTCAGAAAGTCAGAGTGATTCTGTAAGTGAAACCAAAGGATAAGATTAAAGATTTCGGTCCAATCTACCACATGTGTGCATGCAGGCCTACCTCTTTTCCGGTGAGGACGTGTCGTGCCAGTTTGACCTTGGCGAAGTTGCCTTTGCCGATGGTTTTGAGCAACCTATAGTTACCAATGTGTGGCTGTTCATCTGATGTGGTCGTTGCGACAGAGTTCCGACATCGCGGCATGCTGGACCGGCCAGACTTGGACTCCTGGAAAGAGAATAGGCAATATATGTAAGCACAAGAGGACAAGATGACTTGAAGGAAGAAAGTGATAGAAAGGGACAGTGAAAATATGACTGATCAAAAATGAAGGAAAAAATTTTACATTCAAAAGAGGTATTATTCCAGCTGTCCTGAACACTTTGTATGCATGGGATATATAATATAAAGACAGATAAGGTTTTAACAAAGCATATTATGTGATGCAAGTTAAGAAAAAACAAATTTACAATATGTATATGTATATGTGAAAGAAAACTAGGTTGGCCGATTCTGAGTGTATAGAGACAACAATGCTTTTTGAGAAGCAAACCTAATCTCATTCAAATTCTCTTTTAACATCAAATACTGTGGCAATGAATCTTCAAAGCAGTCAGGTCAGTGCTAGCCATAACAGTGAAAAGTGACACTATATATAAAATATATCTAATACATTACAAATAGTGGAAAAGGAGCTTCATTACAAACTCCAGACACATTGTAACAAAGTTTATGCAGATTTAAAATGTACAAATAGCCAAGCTAAATTATGGACAAGATTGCCTCTAGTCTTCGGCTTTCAGGTGGGGCATTCCATATCATAATGGCCCAAATGGCCTTCAGTTTTCATTTTGGATTGGAAATTGTGCCTCCACACACCAAGTAGGGTGTTAAAAAGTCTGCATTATAATCTGGTGGCAAGATTAGAATAGATTGGGAATAGACAGCCAACACTGATCAGGATCCCCCAGGCCTCTGGAGAGATTTACACAGCTAAATGAAATAGGTGTGAGTTCGATTTTTAAATTTGATTTTAGCAACATTAAAATTTATAGTTCTCCTTGTAGTGTTTGCTTTAACATTTTAAAATCTTACTACTTTGATATGCAGACATTTCAGTAAGAGCTACTGTAAATTGTTTGATAAACCTGGTTCTCTTTTGTTCTGTCAAAGTAATGGTGCTGTGACAGTCTTGATTTCCTTTTGTCACTGTTTTACTGTAGGTTAATATTTCACACTGTAGCCAGTTATGGCCCACACACAATATTACTAACCCCTGCTTTTGTGACTGGATCTCCAGCCAAGGCCGCTAATGTATAAAGTTATTTTTAATAGCCTCTTTGCTTCACTTCGTCTTTTAACACACAGTAGGTCTTTCGAGTTATACACACACCCAAGAAAAGAAAACAAAACCTTGCTGTGCTGGCAAGTTTTGCATGGTTGGCAACTGCGATTGGGTTTCAACTCCAGGAAAGGGTCACAGCAATTGTGTGTGTGTGTCTATGTCCACGAGTGTGTGTGTGTGTATGTGTGATCTGAGCGGACAGGTGATGGGGATCAGGGTCAGAGGAGAGGACGACTGGCTCCAGGGTGACGAGACGCAAACACACACAGGCTGTGGCACAAACAGCAGTGCAAAGACACAAGAATACACACTCAGGCACACAAAAGTACACAGTCACGCACGCGGGCAGCACAAATCACACACACACACACACCTCTCAGAGATTTGACACCAATGAGACAGAGACGGTCCAGTGAAATTCACACTGTTGGTGTGGAGCGCAGAGCTTCACACAAATCATCTCCTTCTCTTGTTCTGTCCCTCCAACACAGACTAGTCATTTTATTCACCTAATTATCTCCCCTTTGCTTGAACAAATTAGAAGCTCACTCTGTCTCACAAATTACCCACAGACCACATTTTTATCAACATCACCCTCCCATATCTTCCGTCATGGGAAACACGGAAAACCATGATTACTTCATTGTGTTTGTGTGTTTCTTGCTCCAGATGGTATGATCTAATGTCTGTATCCCAACCCGCCCCCCCACCCCCCACAACCTCATGCTGACACTGCAGACCTGCATGAAGCGTAATAGGCCAGATTAAGCTTGAACACAAGTGGAGAACTGGGATTAAAAACAAATGACAGTTACATTAAACCCAGAGGACAAGGGAAGAGCTTTATACGGCCTTGTGTGAGGGGGAAGCAAATGATTTTTATTTTTGGATCATGTGGGAGAGGGGGAGAGGGAGACAGACAATATGTCATATGTGGATACAATTTGAGACAATGGGACCCAATCTGACCGCACAAAGCTGATTTCTCGATCAGCTGTGCTGTCCTCACAGAGGTCTGTGTGATCTAACACCCTCTGTCACTCACTGAGCTTTGCATTGAGCTCACCAGAGTACTGCTGTCCAAAATAGCACATGCAGGTCAACTTTTGCCCTCAACAAAACATTTGTCTCTCAAGGTCTTCTAGAAAGTTAAACAGCATCTTATTTGTTCTGTTTTGATGTTGTTTAAAAGGTGTCTGAGAGATGATAAATTGTTGAGTAACCTGGTTTCTAGTGAGCATGCAACATGCTGACTGACTGGAAGAGCTGGCAATGAAAACACTAACTAAAAAAAACAGTGTACATGACAGCATGAAAAAAAATAGGGCCAAGTATATGGAATACAATATAAACATCATGACACACATATGCTGACAACATGAACATCAACTTTACTATTTTGATGCATGCGCAGTCAGTGTGGTTACTATATCGACATTTCGCACAGTCTTTAATTTCGTGCTATGAAAGGGTCTCGTGGACTTGGGAAGATGACAAAATTTACATCACATGGAGCCTCACAGACACGGAAAATATGAATTGGACTTAAAACAACACTGATGTTAAGTTTTTAAAATGTAAAACATTCCGTGATTTGGGAAGCTGCCAATATTGGCAAGCGAAGATCAGTCTGCAATGCCGTGGACTGATCTAAGACAGACAGATCTAAGATTTGAGATGTGTACATGCCCTTTGAATCAGAGAGATAAACTGACAATGTTCGAAGACAACTATTAGGGCTGGGTTGTGAAATATCGATTTTCAAAAAAACAAGAGAGACAAAAACATGGCAGACAAGGCTCCATTGAAAGCAGTGTTAAGTCTAAAAGCAGATGTATAGCATTTCGGACTTAAAACTATGAATGCAGCAAAGAGATGGACAAAAGCAAAGCAATCTGAAAGATGTGCAAGAAGAAGCCAATAGAAGAAGAAGCCGTGTGTACCTGTTGGTAACACTGTAGTCAGAGCACCAGGATACATTAGCAACGCACATTACTTATCTACCTGTTATTTCTCGAGAAGTGTGTCTAAACTGTTGGTCATTTTAATTAAAAGTGCATTCCTGTAACTGCTTTGTAAACATTAATACTTTTAATAATGCACCAGGTTAGAGGTACAATTTACAGCATTAGGTCTCAGACAATCTCATTCAAATCTAAGCAAAATTGGTATTGTAACTGAAATATCTCCAATTTAATCAATATTGAATCAAATCAAAAACTGCATTGAATCGGGAGATTATTGGCAATACCCAGCCCTAACAACTATACAAATCACTACCGTCAGACCAAACCAGTGTAATGAATGGACTAACCAAAAACCAACTGGGGCTTTCCACAACAGCATACAACAGCAAACAAAATAAAAACCAATCACAACAGAAAAATTTAAAAAATACAAAGAATAGGCTGAAAACATACTGTACACCCATAACTAAAACACAAAGTGCAACAAAACACCAGAGTTATAGCTTTAAGGATGTGGCATCCCATAGGTGACGTTGCTGAGCTATTTGCAATAGATATTCAAGAATCAACAAGTCAATACAGTAGCAAAGCAGATGCTGGCTTCCTGGAAAGTTTCTAATTATGACTGCTTCAATAAAGTGTTAAATATTAACAGGAATGTCAACATTTATGTTCTATCCAAGATGGCGGCATGAGACATTCACACTGATTAATGTCTGGGAGGTAACTTTTAGACAGTTTGCCATTTCTCTCTAAAAAGCAAGTATGCATTGTATTTCAGAATTTAATATAGCGTATAGAGTTTGGATTGAGTTTACTTTGAGGAAGCGAGACTCCTCCATTAACCTGTTTTAGCTTTTATGAGTGTTGTCCAATATTTACAGTACAATCGTCTAGATTTTCTCCAGAGTTTTAATTTCTTGAGTTTTGTAAATCTAATTTAGACATTCCAGTTGTTCCAGAGAGGGTGGAAACAAAATTTAACCAGCCAACCAAGGCTGTATAATACAACCTTGGTATAACTATACGACGACTGACATAAAGGTCAGTGGACAGAGTTAAGCTTTTCATTCTTTGGTTAATTACTGCTTTAATGGATCCACCCAGGAGTCAGTAGGCCCAACTTTTCAATAATGTCAGTAGACTACTTAAGTAGTAGTCTACTGACATTATTTTGGAAACACTGCACAAAGCAGCAACTTAAAATTCAAGCGTGTCTCCTCTGAGTTCTTTGACTCGTCCACGGTCCTCATCTCTTCAGTCTTCCTTCTCTCCTATCCTCTTTCATGTCTGACTATTTTTGTCTTCTGATTCTTCCTTCATTTTTGGGCAGCTGCAGGCTAAGCAGAACACCCTCCCCCCCGCCACACACACATAGATATAAACACACATACACATACCCACCTCTCCCCTCAGTTATAATTATAGACGTGTTGGAGGACAATAAGTGACATCATTGTTTTGTTTTTACATTACTCTGATGCTACGTGTGACTCATGAATGCTAACTTGGAAATGCTAGAATTCGCAGTTTACCAAAAACTTTACTAAGGTAGCTTTCTGTTGTGCTCCTAAAGAAATCACACCAGACATATTCACAACAGCTGGAGGACTGCACCTGAATACTGAGTTGAATATACACTCTGAAACTCTGGGTTGGTTAATGACATTCACACCTGATGAAGGGACAAAGACACATGATTGTAATCAATCACATGACATTGTTGACCATGTAAGGTGACCCAATTGAGGGCAGTAAGCAAGACCAAGCAAAAAAGGGCCATTCTGTGTACCCTACTGTGTAGAAATCAAAGCAAAGTGATAATTTCTATGTAAAAACACTAATATTCTAAAACATACGACAGTCCTACCGTTTCATTTAATGACTGTTTAAATACATTTTCAACTTGGCAGCCG